ATTTGCTGCTTCACTAAAATATAAAATAATTATATTTTAGAGCTATTATCTATGTTAAACTTGAATCTAAAAATAAAACTACCTTTTCATAGGGCATCTAATTTAATAGTCAGCGAAAAGATCATCCTCTGGAAGAACTTTTGTTCAACTATCTTATCGCTCTTTTACCAGGTCCAATAGTCAATTAACAAAATGTTCAGTCGAATTTCTCAGGTCGCGTCTCCCAAATGAACCCTTAATTGTATATTTGTACGTGCAATCACTGTGTAGTTCAACCGATCGCAGCATTTAAACGACACGCTGCCAGGCTGTAATCTCTGTTTCGACAAATTGAAGGAAACTTTAGCCAGTCCGTAGTCCACCCTTCGCAGGTGGACTCTGATTTCCAGGCTAAACAACCGAAAGAAAAAAGAGAAAAAAGAGCGTCGGATTTAGTGAAAATGCTAGGCCTACGGTCTGGAATTAGTCTCGTGGTAAATTGGAGCATCGAAATCGTCCTTTTAGTTCTAATGCCTATTGATAATTATTGATCACTTCTTTATTTAGGTCATTGATTAATCAAACATTTAGATGGATGCTTTAGGTGAATCTAAAACTATTGAAGATTTTATTCTTGTTTCTATTAATTTTTGTATATAATCATAATCATTATTAGTTTCTCAAAAAATAATTTCTGTAAGTTTCACGTGAGTTCGTATCTGTTTATGTAAGGAAAATTACCCTTTTATTTCGGTATTGTTCAAAGCATTATGGCTGGTTACTTGTTAGCCAGCAAATCGTGCCAATTTTGAGCGAGAAACGTATCATCGACTCAAACCAGATTCTCAATGGTCGCAGAGAAATGAGCGTCTGAATATTGCCGTCATAAGGCTGCCCCGTTTCCCTCACTTAAATCCTTTGGATTCCATCGTCTCGAGTTAATTGAACGACACTCTGTGTATCGTTTCAGCTAAACCAAATACAAGAGAACAATTGATAGCACGTATAAAGGGCAGGTATTCTCTTGAAATTTTCCATGGTCTTTTTGGCAGAGCCACCCCTTTTGCTTCATAGGATACACGTTTTTAAATGTGCAAATATTACTTTTTATTGTCATTCAAGTATAATTAAAAGTGAAAAATATGATACACATTTTATATTTTAATATTTATAGAAAAAGAATTTAACTAGAAAAATTTATTTTTAAAATAAATAAAAAATGTAAATTTGTAGAGTTTGCTTGAAACTCTCCGTTTCTATTTTTACAGAAAAATGCAGCTCGATTGAATATATGTTTATGATAAGAAACTTGGTGAAAATTTGTTTGGATCTCTTATACACATCTATCCAAATCTATTTCAAAGAAAATCAAATCGGTATTTGAAATTAAATTTTACCATGAATTGTGACAATGTCCGTAAATGACCACAGTGCACTCATTAGCATTGTAATTACAAAAAGAGTAAAACCAAAACGGTTGATGAAGCGTTTTAATTTTGAATGAAACTAGTCGACGATCCGAACTCACGTACAGGGTTCTTTCTTTTTCCTTTATTTCGTTTTGCAATTTCGAAGTTCCAACGAAGCTTGCGTGCTTTACGAACAGACCACACATTTGCACGGTAGTTGCAAAATAATAATTTAACTTCCGAATGCATTTGCGTCTGCGGCATGAATAAAAAGTCAAATTCGACGCTGCCTCCGGGGAGAAGAAACAGAATTGCTCTGTTCCGAATAACGTCCAGAGTTGGCGAAACTTCGGACACTGTAAATCAGCTTTAGTCGAGCAACGCTTCATTTTTTTCCGAATAAAAAGTGTGTTTAAACGCTGGTTTAAGACTTCCTCTTCCGCCTACAAATGAGACTTATTTTATGGACTTTTCTTTTATCGACGAAGAAAAGTGAAAATCTCGACGTGTTACTAATCCCAAGGTAGAAATTTAAATCCCACTCCACCTCTAATTGCGAGTGTAATTTTAATTTCTAGGACTATTATTTAATCATCATTCCTCTGTTATACAAGGTTGATTTTATAGCCGGATAAGTTTATATTTTGTTCATAGTTCTCACTTTATTACTCTCTTTACTCCAAACTCTTTCGTAATTTCTTGAACAAGAAAACTTTCTACGTGGTATTCCTGAATGCAAATAGTTCCTCAAAAGTTGATAAATAATCTCTTTATTACTTACTTTGATGCTTTCAGGGAAAACCTTTTAGGAGCTACAAGGGATTAATATTTCAACTATTTAATTTTTTAGTGAGAAAATAGACTTACTACCGGATAACTTTTATTAGATAATAAAGGAACTTCACTTTACACTTCACACATATATAAATTTATGAAGCATAATATGAAAATTGTTAGAAATGTATTACCACTTGTTGCTTTTTCAAAGTAGAAATGAATTCTTCCTAATTAATTTCAATTCTGATTTGAATGAAACTTTTAAAAATTTGTCATACTGAGAGGGATAATTTTATTTCTTCAGAATAAATTTCAGTAAGAAAATAAATAATTCCTTGCACGACTCGATGGACTCTTCACAATCGTATAAAATTTGATTAAAAATTATTGTTGTTGCATTTGGAAACCCCCTTAAAACTTCTAATTGCATTCAAAATCCATCTGTTACACAAGCATCATCATCCAAACTCCTTTACATAATGCATTATATGTAACACGATACGTGCCTGTTTTCCATTTTATCCACTAAAAGCAACCTTCCTGGTTATTAATAAATAAATATGTTCACGATATTGCTGTGCACTATGGTAGCGAGGGTAAGAAGAAAAACTAATGTAAGATTAAATTGATAAGCTGCATAAGAGAATCAACATCGAAGTGGCGTTTCCTTATCGAACGTTCTTATCTTGGAGAAAGATTATTGGACCACTGAGCGACGATGAAGTTTCATGTCGAAGAAGAACAGGGGGGTCGTGTGTGTATGTGTGACGTTAAATGATCGATCGAAACACGATTCAGCAACGAAATAATTGGAATTTCAGCAGAAATGGAGCTCGGCCGCCTTAGCTAATTATTTTTTCGCCGAATATCCTACCATTTCTGACAGCAGGGTGCTACGATGGATGATACGATCGTTTACTTGTTATTTATCAGCACGTTAAACGACCGATCCAATTTCGTATAACTAATTTATAAGTCAAAAATAAAATGTTTATTTTATTTTTATTTAATAAAGAAGATTTCTTCAATATTTTAATTACACAAAACGAACGATAATGGAATTAACGATGCCTTCGTTCTTCATTAAAAGTCACAGAAACGCACGGCCTTCTTGTTCGTCAACGCGACATAAAGAGATAATAGACACTTCACGTTTGATATTTATTGACAATCATCCTGTAATAACTGCGATTGTGAAAACCTGTATTTCATTGTTCACCGTCCATTATTGTCCTCGTGTGAAGAGCTATTGGCAATGGAAATAGCCTTGCATATTAAACAAAAATGAACATGGATTGTTCTTTGTAATTGTATCATATCGAATCAAATGTTTTCGCACATATTAATTAACTAATTATATCAAACTTCGTATTGAATACTAACAAAAGTATTTTTCTAAAATTTGCTAAAATTTATAGCAAATAAAAAATAAATGGTGCCATTCCAATGGATATAGATTATCAATTTTTGAAGATAACGAAGTCAGTCGTCCGCAGAAAGTCGTCGTAGACTGCAGAAGTTTATTTCAAAGGTTGAAAAATCAATGCTTCGTTAACCGTGATATTTCTGAACTTCTTGTTGACTGATGAAAAGAATTATATGGAATTCAAACAAAAACTTTCGTTAGGCGCAAAAGTATGCGAAATTTTTAAACGTGTTAAGCTTGTTCGATACTTCACAACCTTAAAGCAACTTTTGAGCTCGGGTACTTGCCATAATTGAAGCCCTAAGATGACAAAGCCCCTAAATGGTACTTTGTACTTTTCGCACAGTGTCGCTCGTTCAAGGTTTTGAAGTGACGTAGAAATTTTGAAAAATACATGAAAATATTCGAACGATGGTACGTTCACGATTAAATTAATTGTCTCGTTGAACAGAAAATTCAATATCAACTGTTAAATTGTTAAACAATTAAGAGGTGGGTTCAAAGAACGTCTAATCAAATCTTGAAAAACGTTAATTGCTATACAGGAAACTCGTTGCTGTAACATACATGATTTCTTAGCTTAATAAAGTACTCTGCAATTAACCAATTGCAAAGATAAATTGACTGGAATGTGCCCTGACATAACGGAGTACTTAAATCTTCTTCGTGAACAAGCGAATTAAAAAAGTACTGGAATTTTCTTTACAAAATTTCTGTTAAGAAGAAATTGTTTATATACTCACAAATTATAATTTACTAATGAATAACATTTTCGAAACGCAAGCAACACGATATATAAATAATCCTTTGCAAAATGAAGCAGCGAGGTGTTCCATTATTAATGTGAATAATTGTCACCTCAAAATTGAAGACACGGTGTCACTTAACACATCTTTTTTCAAAATGCATTTTTCGATGTAGTAATACTCATAAGCTACCATCGCATATTTCTTCTTTTTTATTGTTACTACTTCGAATTTTCAAAGAATAATAATACTTTTGTCTTTTAAAAACTCGAGGAATATTTCAATTAATTTCTTTTTAATTAAAAAAGAAATATACCTATACTATCATTACCATTAATAACAGTGCATTAAAGTTCCAATTGAAAATTTATCAACTTTGTTCCAAATAATTAATTCATTTGAAATGACACTTTTATCCACTCGTGTCTTCAATTATTTGTCGACACCATTAACAATACACTCGTTCAAATTTAAAACTAAAATTCATCTATTTTCTTCGAAAGAAGAATCACACTGTGACCACGTTGTTCACTGATTATCCTTTGAAACTTCATCGCAGATGAATTATTAATAAAAGCACATTCTTCGTGAAACATTGTCACAGCGTTTCTTTGAATTATACGTTTTTGAAATGAAATAAAAAAATGAATGCTGGACACCTACCTGATCGGGCTGAACGCGGCTGGATCGACAGTGTAATCGAACGGTGCGATGAAAACGCGAAGGATTTCCGCACGAATACCTGGAGCGTGTCAATGAAACGCGTGCAAGCGTGGAAAAAACGTATGAAATCGCGGCGAAACTTTGGAGCGAATATGCGACGCGAATGACAAACAGATAAAGCACAAAATGCGCGCACCGAGCTCCAGCTTCTCCTCTTTATACCCTCGAACTTGCACCTGTGCTTGCGCAGATCGGCCTCTTAAGCTTCGTCCGCTCGTTCCCTTAGATCCGTTTCAAACCACGTGCTTCAATCGCTCCTATCATTTTAACAATACCAAATGTTTCTTGCAATTTAAGTCTATTAACCTTTGGATAGCTGATCGCTGAAAAAATTTTCCTGCTGAATTATATTACTTTCAAAATTGATCATTTTATTAACGACTATAAATTATTTAATTTTTTAATGTTCATCGTATTTGTGATATTCCTCAGCAATGTACACAATTCTTGTCGGTGGTTATTTTTTATTTTGTTATCGCAAACGATATGAGTGAAATTTATTTCAGCTGGAAACTAGAAAACAAACGAGCGTGGTGATGTTAATTGATGTTCAATGGTTTAGTCGAGGTCTGGCCGATTCTCTTTGGGATTCTGGTCCATGGTACGAGTTTAATGAATTTAGATTAAAACGATTGGTTAAAAGGATAATTGGTTGAAGGATTGATGTAGAGAGAGGAGAAAGTTTTTCCGTATTAAACAAGGATCACTGCGGTATTTGTTTATTGGAATACACGTGTAGTTGGATGAAAAACAAATACTAGTTTATGTGGGAAAACTAGGTACAACAGAAACTGAACATGGAAATTTATTTATCATGTTTCCTGTTGAATTTTTGGACAAAGGAAAATTGTTGGATACCATATGAAACTATAATAGTTGTATTCAACAAATGAATGAAATATTTTTTATTATTAAGCTGATCACGTTTTTATTGAAGATAAAAAGAATATATTTTGTAATTGGATTAAAATTTTGGGGTGCACATTAATTATAAAAACAGATAGATAATAGTATAGATATCTTTAACGAAGATGCGGTAAATTGGTATAATAAAAAAGTTTTAAATTAATGTCTTGAACTGGAATGAGTTGAAATAAGTTTTGTTAAAGGCTAAGTGAGTTTATGAGCTTATCTTTGGTTTAATTTAATCGATACAAAATGACCCAGACGATTATTCATGAAAAATTTATTTTAGTTAATGATAGTAGTCTTGAATCGTGACCTAGACCTACAGAACGCGTACAACAAGGTATGAACTAAAATTAAACATTCAAATTTTGATACAAAAAGCTTTCATATATTGAGAAAATAATATGTAAAGAAACTTAATAACGAAATTTAAAAAATCCGAAAGACAACGATCTCAACCCTCCTGCACTGTTCAGATTAAATTTATCTAAAATGGAAATCCAATATTTAATAACATTTTAATGGGACATGCTATTCGTGTGAAATATATTGGCGTTTATTAAAGATACTCGTAGAAGATTCATTATAAAATATTATTTGGCTCTTCTTTTTATGATATATGTGAACCGAATAATAGATACGAGTTTAATAAACATTTTAGATCTGAATCGTACATTTGCTCAGCAAAAATTTTGGCTCTGCTATTTGACAATTATACTGTGAATTGGTTGATCTGTTATATTGGACAATCAGTTGTCTTGTGTTAAGAATATTAATAAAATGTGTGTCAACAGTTTCATCAAATTCTATCAAACGTTCTGTATTTCGAAATCCATCATTTGATATTTACATTTACGTGTATTATAATATTACTAATTAAATGTTAAATTAGATTTAAATTTTCGCGCGCAAATGTTACGACGCAAGTGGTGGGGGGTCTGCATACCCACCTCTCCCCACCATCGTCAGTCTACCTGGGACCGCTGAGGCGTACGGACCGGGGTCTAGAGAAGGGGAGGTTTATTTACCTGAGGAACCCGACCATGCTCGGTACTGTAAACACTTCCTACTAATATTTATGTACATAAGTTCATTCGAAATCAATTGAATAAGCGGGAACAAAGTTCTAATCCTTGGCTGCAGTCGGAAGTTTGTGGTACTCTTCCAACGAATTAGATTACCTTCCTACCATTTTTCTCTTTACCTTTTTGTGTTAAACCCAAAGAGGATGATGGCAATTAGCCAGAGACCCAATTTTAGGTAACCTGCATTGCAATATGCGGATAATTTGTAGTCTATTGTTTAACGGCAATCATCAATATCGCGATTACTAATACGAACGGGTGTACTACCATCTGCTGGTGATAAAATTTTGGATACCAAATAATGCTTTGTCGTAGGTAAGCTTCCGAACTAAAACACACCAAATTTATAGCATGGTATAGAATTTTTTGTCAATCAATACCAGACTGCAATAGGAATGAAAAATAAAATAAAGCTATGATATATTGTCTCGGTTAAACCTGCTGCGGTTTGCGGTTTTTATTTATTTAATAATTTTTATTAAAAATAATAACAAAAGTATAGTTTTTGAAATTGTTATTTGTTTTAAGAATACCATAAAAATCTACAGTGTTTCCATTGATTGGCCGTGTTTCATTTATTTTTCATTATTATTTGGTAAATTGATTTCATAGTTACAACATTTGACAAGTAACTTTTGGCCTGCTTCCAAATTACTGTCCGCGAAAGTTCACAAATAATTAAAATGAACGCACTATGCGTGTAATTGCGCATGTTGCACCTCCTGGGTCCAGTAAATTCTGTTCATGTCCATTAAAATTCCAATTTTAATATGCCGTAATTACCTGCAATTATTAGTTCCGCTGTGAAGATTATAAAAGAACAAGGAGCTTAATTTTAAATTGCTACATTAACTTGCATATTGTATTATTAATATTAGATTCGTTAAATTTAATTAAACAAATTATTTTCTAATACGATCTATAAAAATTCAATTGGTTCAGGAATAGAAAAGTATCCTTTAGAATTTAAAATGAATTTCGAAATATATGAACACACTTCTGTGAAACTATCTTCGAAAAACAAAGCAGCGATTCGTCATTTTGTCACTTTTTTCACAATGGCACCAGTGACAGCGACCTGAAAATATTTGCTAGAGGCGAAGTCGGGAAGCATTGTGCCTTGCCTCATCGCATCCTTCAAAACAGAGGCAATTTTTCTTCCTTCGCACAATACTTGAATGTATATTCCGACAGAAGGCTGATTTTGAAAGCAAACATATGGAATGGGAAGCAATTGTAGAAAGAAATTCATCTGTGGATTATTGGCATGAAATCATAGTTGAAAACCATCAATAAAATATTGATTAGAAAATAGATGTTTTTGAGGGACAATAGACAGATTTTCGAATGAATTTTACGCTTTGGTTAAGGATTCTCGAAAAGTTTCGTTATCGAAACCATTTGTAGACCGTTGGTCAGTGTGGATTTCGAGACCTCTGTATGACATGCTAGAGAAGCGATGCTCTCATTTACTGGCTTCCGTCAATCAAACCACAACTTAACTACCACCTTCGAACAGGATTTCATGGGTTTCGGTGCGCGTCGGTTAACTTGATTTATAATCGGTATAAACTGTGATCGCTGCTTCTTCCTGTATAATATCACATTGAATTACTTCTCGCTTTAATTCCGTGACAATAACATGAAATTACCCACATCATTTGAAAAATCCAATTGTCAATATTTTCAAAATTCTAAGATTCTAAGATTCCTAAGCTCTCAAAATTTTAAGCTTCCAAAATTCTAAAATTCCAAAATCCTAAGGTCCTCTAAAATTCCCACACGAGCGAATTACTGCATCCCTTATTTCCTGTCATTCAGAGAAGTTTGCCAGAAAATTGTTGGCAACGATAATCTCATTCGACATTGCAGCGAGGGATTGAAGTGGCCATGGAAGATCTGATAAATCAGCAAGCAGTCGAAGACAAGCGAGAAATCGCTGGATTCGATCGAAGATGGGTCATTCACGGGCCTACATTCGCGTCCTTGAGGTCCTTTACGTTTCGTCGGTGTCGCAACGTCGACTCAGCAATCGCGCACGTCGACGATTTTTTTCGAAACTGAAGAATTCCTGGCCACCGTTCGACCTGGTGAACAGCTGATCGTATCTACCATGTCGACAAGCTGAGAGAGCCTCCTTGCTTCCCGACCCTCTAGCTTAAATAAGGTAAGCAACTTTCCTCTTTTTCTTTTTTTTACACGACAGTCTTTTATCACGTTCCTTTTTTTTCCTTTATGTTCTTATAACGCTCTTCCGGTATATCAATCGGGGACAAAATCAATCTTCCGTATGTGTTCATAATTTCAGGAAAATGAAAAAAATTTAAGAGATTAAAACTGCTTTTTCTGATCGATCAATGTGTAACTTTAGAATTGCAAAATTTTCGAATTTTGAAAGCTTTGAGTTTGGAAAGTTAGAATTTTAAAAATTTAGCAATTTAGAATTTTGGAAACTTTGAATTTTGCGCCCTTAGGATTTAGGAACTTTCAAATTTTTAAATATTCATTACACCTAAACAATACATTGCACCTAATGTACACTACACATTATTAAACACGGTTCATAGAAGCAAACTCCTAAGTGCACTGCGTACTGTATCTCTAGCGATTCAGTTTGCCTTTACAGGAAGTTTGATAAAGAGGAGTGTAGTTTGCACTTTGTCACATATCGTAACTGATAATAATCTCGGTGCAGGTAAAGCAAGAACTAATGGATAACTTAAGATTTATTCAATGCTGTAAATACAGCTTCCTAAAAACAGAATTGCTTGGTTCACAACTTTCTGTGGTAACGTCACACCCTTAATATTGTCGCCCCCGGATATAATGGACTTTCATTCCCTTTTTTCTATCTATATTTCACCACTCGAAACGCGAACGTCGCAATGTTTTTCCACGTTCGATCTAAATCAGTGCTCGAATGATCACCACCTCTTATTTATCATTATTATTAACTAGATCTTCTCTTAACGTAGTTGCATTATCAGGAGAGTCATTAGCGACTATTTAGCCAAATGAACAAGTATTTATGAGGCAAAGTTCAACAGACTGTTTATAATTGAATTTAACTCAATAATTAAATGACTTTCAAGTGTTTGAAACGCCTCCACTTCCGGTACCGATACATTCGTCACGTAGTACTTCATTTAACGCCATTTAATTTTTGTTAATAACATTTTTCTTTATTTTCTACTATTAGAAAAATGTAAGTTGGGCCAATTTCATGGGACACTCGGTATCAATTTGTATCAACTATTTTGTTATTAAATATTATTATAGTAAAATCTGCATACCTTTTGTCGATAAATCACCGTCAATTGATATTCAATAATTTTATGTTACGCACATCTAACAAGTTCCGATTATAAAGTGAGAATAATGTAACAGAAGAATTCTGTAAAATTTGCTGTTGATAAGAGTGAAATCTTCTGATCATTTAATGATAAATGTGTCCCTTCGATAAATATGTTTTTAGCAACAAAATTTTATTTCTTATGATAAAAAACAAATTTTTAATTTCGAAAACCTTTTTGTAACACTTTCAGTGATTTATGCTTCCCATGCATACTCTTATAATTTCCACTATAATTTCATTAATATTCAAAATTCTATGATAAAATTATTATAGGATATTTTCGATATCATATACAGTTAAATAAACGAATGAAAAAATTAATTTTTTAAATCTTCTAAGAGTGAGAACGTTTTTAGTGCGATGGCACCACAAGCGTTGACTTATACTACTTGCTACGTTACCGGCAAATGGAATAGGTCAATAAAAGGCGCGACGCTGACTAAACTCAATAGACAACTGTAACGTTGTGACATATTTGGCTTGTTTAAAAAATTGCAGAACTTTATCAACTCTATTTTCATGACAAATCTCAGTAAACATGTCCAAATTTGTAACCTAGTATTTTTAATAATTTACAACCTACGTAAACTAAGAGTATGAGGAATTAAATAAAATCCATTTAACTAGAATTCGATTGAATTGAACATTGAACTTCCATAATTAGTAATATTGAAATATTGAATAAAAATTGTTTCGGTCATAAAATAAGATGGTTCGTGTAATGATATAAAAAAAAGCAATGAAAGGGACGTAAATATGTCGTTCCATAGTGTATGCGTAATAGCCTTAAACTTGGAGCGTAACTTCCTGAATAATTAAAGTTTATACGCACTTATTGCTTATAGTAGAAGCTTCTTTCTTTTCTTCTGTGGTTTTAACATTTAACCTTGTTAAATCGTAGTGTGATAACGTAACATACTGATAAATTCACGCATATAGAATGGAATGAAAATATGTAAAAATTCAATTATCGAACGGTTTAATTAATTTTGCAGTATTTTTATAATCAGAAATTTAAGATAGAAATGCAAAAACCATGAAAAGTATCGAAAGAATTAAACAATCCTACGTGTTCAATGTTTTCGATGTTTCATATTTAAATATAACACTGAAATAATTGAAGATTGAAGTAGCTATAAAAAGATTGTATAAATGGAATCAGAACATTGATGGATTTTGTTAAAATTAAATTCATGTTCTGATGGAAAATGGTTTTATTGTTATTCCTCTTTTTAATTCAGATCTTTGTTATATAGCCAAAGCTCTATTGAAACTTTCAAATATCCATAATTCAAAAAAGGTTTATCTGAATGTATATTGAAACATTTTCACTTAGGTTCACTTTTAAAATATATAGAGTAGAGTTATATTCAATGGTACGTATCAAATGGCAATTTTCAAAACATAAAAGTCTGATAGTTTAATAATATAAAAGTATTACAAAATAGCACTTATGGGGCGTATATTAATATTTTTAATATAAAATAACTAATTGCCAATATAGTATAATATCACTATAGACCATTTTTCCATAATAGTAGATACAAAAAATGAATATGGTTAATAAAAGGTCACGTACTTTTACAGTATGATTGACATTCGGAACGTGAACACAAATAGAGTCACAAAGAAAGCTACTTACATTACTTTTCACTCCCTACATCTGATTTCACATTCTATTTATCTGTAATATTTGAATAGGGGTTGCTACCCTTATTCTGACAGTACAATGTCTTGACATTTTTAAATTATGTGTACACTTTATTAATTATATTTATATCTAGAATGATGTGTTTTATTTAAAAAAGAATTATGATAAATTCTGCAAGGATTCTGCTTTGCATTCAAATAGTAATTTGTAATGTTAATATGCACTTGCAAGATTGGCTTTGAGAAACTTGTTCTGAAGATAAAGAACGAAACAACAAGAAGGTTATATTTTTCTCACAACTTCTGACAAATGTAGTCAAAAGAAAAATTACAGTTTTCAATGATTTCTAATTTAGATTCAGGAGCACAGTAATTTGAAAGTTTGTATATTTTACAAAAATTATTTTTATTTCTCAAAGTCAAACAACAATGAATTTGAAATCAGTCGTTCAGAGAAAAATAAAAACCTCCCTAGTTGCAATGCTGACAGGCTCGTCGTGTTAAATGGTACATGTTAACTTGAATATTCATAGTCGTAGTAGTGTAACCGGTAATTTTGCGAGTGATTTCGACGGGGAACGTTTATGCAAAACGTTAGCCCGGTGGTGGTGGTTGTTGCGTCATGAGGTCGGATTTACACGAACGAAGAAACCCATTTAATCCCGTACATCTGTAAAAATAAAAGAGCAACGACGCGAATCGTCGCGTGGGATTGACGGGCTACGACATTTCACGCGCCTCGTTTGTCTTTCTTTTTTATTGCAAATGCATATCGAATGTTGCGGTGCAATGGCTTGTAATGCTCCTATAGAGCACCTATGCATTCGTTTCCTGACAAAACTTAATTAACGCTTTCGTTAAAACATTTTAATTCCTTAATTAATTTTTAGTTTCTTACACTCCGGAATGTTCAGATAGTTTATAGAAAAATTATATGAAAATTAAATTCTGGTAGTATAATGATATATAAATAAATAATCTGATGGCTTAATAATAAATGAGAAATAAACAATTGTTATTCATAGAACTGATGGCCGAGGAAACATTTATACACTTTCATTTTGTGAATTCAATGTGAATATCCAATTATCGTTTTGCAATCTCCGGACTAAACGAATGGCATTCGTTATCACTATCGGCTCAGAAATAGGAGAGAAATATGTCAGAGGCCAAAGTATCTGGCATAATTAGAGCTCTTCCTGCTTTTAAAACGGCTTACACTACCATTCAAAAGTCTTAGGGTACTTGTATCCACCAATACTCTGGAATTTCAACTACTTCATGAATTTTTAATGACTTCTATTAATTCATTATTTTAATTAGTATAATTAGAAGAAAATTATGAATACGAACATTTTTATTTAAAAAATGAAATAGGTAGTACTCTCACAAATACTATAAATAGTATACTAGAATATAATATGATATTTGCATAAATATTCGCGATCTAACGGTAACGATCGAAGAGGGTGAAATGAAATGATAAGGGGACCAATCGTTATTGCGTTGTTCACACGTGGTAAAGTAATTGAGGAAAAAAAATCAAGTTGCTTCTGATGACTTAGGTTTTACGACCGTCATGAATCTCTCATGAACTCGTGTTCCACTATAAAACATTGTTGACAAAGTTCCTCGAACAATAAGGGTCTCTTACAGTTCTATTTTCTATCGCCACGTGAAACTGTACATTAAATTTTTGGATTACATAAATTTTGTAATAGAAACATTATCACACATTTATCGCAGTAGGCGCGAAGGTGACGTAAGTAGCTAAAACCAGATGAAATATTAATAAAGGAGGACTTATGGTTGGTGTAGAATGATATCGACTCGAAATAACGGGATCCAGGTGCGCGAATACACGACTTTGTCTTGTGCGGTCGGACTCTTAATCGTTGTTACTACTTAGAACCGTATGGCTGACTCAAGCAAAACCTTTACCACTTGCCACTGTTCTTCGAATAATGTACCTACGAACCGATGAAAATTACTGCAATTCCTTTCGACAGTATTACATTTGCTTTCGTTATTAGCCGATAATTAATATTATTTAAAATGTAAATTAAAAATTAAACGCAAAATGAAATTATAATAACATTAAATTGAATATTAACAATTCTGATTCTTAACGTATACATGTCTTACGGGCATTTTGAATATTTATTTAATATTTCATGTAGAAAATTTCGATCAAAACACCAAGTAATATTTAAGACGCCTACTGACAGTACTTTTTAATGTCTTGGTAAGAAATCATAATTAGCGTTACCAGTAGGCGTCTTACATATTAAAACACAGGATTACTCAGAGCTTGATGGTAACAAACTTCTATCATCTATTACTGATTTCAATAATGGAAGATTTATAAATATACTTGAAATTAAAATGTTAAAAATTACCGTTTTACTCAATATTGAATTTCCAATTTAAATAAATTATATTAATCGCATTAATATTATGGCTCTCTCCAAGGGTCGCCATATGGGGGTTAATAATTATTGAATTTCGTTCTTGTTTTTCATAACTTCAAATTTATTTCAAACCTTCAATATCATGTAAAACAATTTAATTCGGTGTATGTTTCATAGTTTCATCAAATCTGACACGCGTCATAGAAATTTTCCTTTTATTACGCTCAATTTAAGAGCGACTATAGGCCTACCCTTTTCGCGTAATTAAATTTCATCCCGCCTATGTGTTTCAGTCTCACCGAATCTATGTTACCTATATTTTCATTTCTGCGATTCGTATGAATGAACTTCTTGTGAAATTCGAAGGTGAAAGATTTCCTTTGCGAATATTCATGAAAACCTGACGTCATTCAATTTAACGCATCAATTACTTGTTAGTCATAGTATAAAAAATATATAATATATAGGTATTATATTTCAAAATTGGTAACTTCGTAACTTCGCTATTTTCAATAGCTGGACAATTTTAGAAAATTGAATACTTTGCAGAAATGAATTTCACTTTTATTTACAATATTTTTGAAGGAGTATTTTCACTCTTTGAAATCTTTTCATTGCTAAAACAAAAATATGGTCCCCTTTCTTCAATTTTTTGAAATTTTTGACTATTGTTATGAAACTTTTATTGCCAATAATGTAATATAAAATTACAAGAGCTGTGGATTCCATAAAATACACATGTAATTCAACTTTTATTTAATCAAATTTTTTGCAAAATTCATGGAAAGTTTTCAAATGTACAATTACAAACATTAATGAAAAATTGACACGAATCGTATGAATTTTCAATTCATAAAATCATCGTTCGTTCTATCTGGTCCTGAAGGGAAGAATATTCGAATCCACCAACGCATTCGTATATCCGCCAGGTGCGCATTAGGAAGGTGCGCTGCGATGTTACCACCACCATGCACCACCATATAGGAGGTCTATAAAAGCCCTGATCGTACAACCTCCTGCCTTTGAGTTTACTCGCCAACCTCTTCGATCGGGATCCTCAACGAATCGAACGTGGATTTTCGAAGTTTGATTTTTTTTGGTGAATAAGTGGTAACACTAGTGGACCGATACATCTTCCACCCACGTTTCTCTATCTACGAGACGTTTTTCCGGTTTGAAATTCAAGGTGAAACAATCAAACAAATTATTCCAAAAGAGTGTTCTAGTCTTTTTATTTCAGTTGAAATGTATATTATTTTATTAACTTGGTAGGGTGAATGTTTTTCAAAAACTGTTATCGTTAATATAATAGGATAATGATTTTTTAATTAAAATTTGATAAAGTGATTCTATTTGAAAAATATCCAAATTTCAATAGAAATATTAACGAATTTAAAAAAAAAAAAAGACCAACTCTATTTCGTGATCTCGGAGAATGTCATTCAGCAACAGTAAACGAAATTGTACAATTTCCGAAAAATAATTAAAAAAGAAATTACCTTTGTGAATAGCAGGTATCTCTCATTCATTTCGACACACGTCTTTACACGTTTCCTATATGAAAAAATATTTTTGTTTTCAGTGTTTCGAAGTTGTATATTTTGTATTGCTTTTGAATGACTATACCTGTTTCTATAGCTGGAAACCTCTTATAACTCTGAAATGATATGCCATCGATAGTACTTTAGAAAAACATTTAAGTTTCCATAGGAATCAATCACCCATATTATTAGAAATTCTTTAACCTACTTGAAAGTTTCGATACTTGAAGTTTTAATAATATAGCTCTATTATTGGTTCAAAGTTTTGCGTTAAAGAACCCCTAGCGAAGGGGTTAAATTCGTAATATTAAATTTACCATTAAATGGTCAAATAATTGCATCGTTAATAATTCTTATCAAAGTTCGGCATATCGAGAGATTAACTCGAAAATTTGGAAGATTATTTTTCTTCAGATTTCATTGAAATTTCATTTGCATTGACTTGTTGATTTACGGTCCAGCGAATTCTTCATGGTTCGATTGAATAATCAATAGCTTTATCAAAGTTTGTTTTTAAATGCAAAGAACAGAGCTCGTTTCAATATGAAAATTATGCACGAAGTTGTTGATTGCGTGTTGTTTCTGTTGCTTTTAAATTGAAAGAATAATGTAGCAAACTTTTATGCTACTGTTCCTTTGAGATTTCGATTCTATTTTTGTTTGAATTGAGTTCGTTGATATTTGTTTTTCAGTAAACTTCGAGCAAATCCTCTTTTTTTAGCTTTTGATTTTAATGAAAATTATAGGATTCGTTTTAACCGAAAACTTATACAATTAATGACTGCATTGTACTTTCACAAGCCAATTTTATTTATTCGCATAAAATTTAAATCCATTAGATGTAAATCTTTCGACAACTTGATCTATTCTTAGATCAAATACGACTTCACGATTCTGACATATGAAGTATGATAAAAATGTACAACATATGAATTGAAATTCCTCAGAAATGTATTTTCCAGCTGCTTGCTACTTATCTTCTCTTCCACAAAAGATCAAGAAGCATAGAGGAAAATGGGCACGTGCTTTTCATTCAAACTCAATTTGACTCTTCGCAATTCTATCACCTTTGTTTAAGTCGATTTCGATGTTCAAAGAGAATGTTCGATGCATTCCTTCAGTTTCTTTTAGACCATAGAGCTCTTTCTTTGAAGTATATTCTTTGGTTGTGCACTGTTTCTTTGTTACATTCAAAGTGGAGGAGGCAATCTGTCATCTGATGTATGAAAATCTAACACTAATTTGTTTGAAAGAAATGAGAAAATATACAGCTTTTAAATCAATGAGTTTTAATTGTAATATTTTCTAATATGAAATTCAAACATACGAATTCCGCTACGTTTTAATAAAATCATTGTTACGATTAAATATCTCTGTTCTTCAAGTTAAATAAAATTTCATCAACGATGGTGGAAAGTTTATCTACTGAATTATTAAATTTAAAAAATCCATTGTTAACTTTTTCTTTCATTGAGAAGAGTTTTCCAATGAAACTATTTGAACTTTAGAGTAATAAAAAAACGAGTAGGAAGCAAATATTTTTACCCTTCTTTGGTAAAGGAAGCTGGTATTGATATAAGTTTAAAAATAAATATAAAAATTGCTAAATTATTAACATTGTATTTATTTATTACTGTTATAGATCACAACTGGTCACATGGCGATCGCTTCGGAAAACTCAGTGACGATTATTATACGCACTTGGACCTTTATGATAATCTTCTGCTTCGCTGGCTGTGCAGCTGGTAAGTGCATTATTTAAATTATTAAATTATTCATCGCGTTGGTATTAACAATAACAGAATTCTTCAACCTTTTCGACTCCGGTATTTTCCATTTAGATTTTATTTTTATTTTTTTTTTTTTTTGCCTAGATAAATAAAATTCAATACAATTATTGTAAGTAAATTCCTTGAATGTCTACAGATATTTATAGCGTCACATGAATTTACCGAATATATTGAGGTATTTATAGTAGGTGTACAAGTTGGTCTTTCTGTAGATACTAATAGCAATGAATGGGATTCATCAAGCTTTGCTTGAATGAATAGTTGAGAAGCATAACTATTCCATGAGTGTAATAGGATAGTAGTAGTATAAATTTCTAGTCGAAAGTTTGGTAATATTTGTTAAAGTGCATAGAAAGTGCAGTCCAGTGCAAGTAGATAGGACTTAAGTACAAAAATGATCCAGATGTCTTGTTGATTTTATTTATGGGTCCCAACAGGGTTTATGAAATGAAATTTCACCGACAGCTAACATTATATCATGATATAAACAAATAAGGAAGACATTCGCAGAATTAATCCTGATCCCTGGAAAGTAATTACGCCTGGTAATAAACTCATTACGACCATCATAGATCGCCCAAGTTCTTCCAAACTTTAATTACCTTATTAACAAATTTTTTCTCCTTTCTTTCTTATTAGCTATTTATTGTTAAAAATTTGATTTAGAATTCGTACACTCGCGATCATATATTTTCCTTTATCTATGTATTGGTGGCTGGTACATGGCTTATAATTTGAATGATTTATTTCCATAGCTGAAAATTAGGTAACTGAATGGTGCAATTTAAAATGTGATTATGCAGATTTCAGGGTTCATTATTTGAATATCGTATAATGTGAAGGAAACTGGAATGCAATTTAAAATCTATCATATTGTAATTCTTAGAAAAAAAAAAAGAAACGTTATGTGTAAAACCTTCTTAATCAATGATAATGTAAATTGCAACACCAAATTGTAATTTTAACAATGTAACAGGAAAATATTTCTTGAAATATGACCTAAATATTTTTTTGCTTCGCAATTTGAACCGTTCGTTATTAAAATACTTCAATAATGTTCAATTAATTTCTACCTACCACTTCATTCGATTTATGAATTAATTGAAGCTGTTATAAAGGCTGTCATATATTTGTCTCGTACTTTTTTAACATCAATCTTTATTATTAGATATACAATTAGCAAAAATTTATTTTTAAAGGTCGTAGTAAACTCAGTTATTGAAGTAATTTTTATTGTTATTATATTTTCACGCCATTTTTCGAAGACATAAAAAGTATTAAAATTTAAAATAGTAATTAAGAAGGCGTAATGCTACATTGGAAGTATATAGCCTTATAGAAAGGTCAGCTTAAGAAGGTCCAGCCTGAACAATAACAACAAAGTTTGCGAAACATCGTTAACTAGATTATCCGTGGTCTAGTGATCCCCGTTCCCATCGGATGCGTTAAATTTTAATTATATATGCAAAATCCCCGTTTACGAACTATAAGATTAACAAGTTCACGGGGTTTGCGTTGTTTTGTGGTGGTAACCTGTTGCAGCTAATCCTTGGAAAGCGAGCTTTTGTTATCTCCTTGGTTTACACTCTTTCACTGACCGATATTTAATTTGACGAGGCGAATAAATAAACATTTTATCGCTACAGTATTTTATTCATAATTTAATGAAGATTAACCTAAATTTAAATAAAAAAATAAAATGGACAAGTGATTAAAGCATTATATTCGAATTTAAAGATTAAATTATATAGAAAATTGAAATCATATTTTAACGTGTAAATATTGTATTTTCTTATTTCACTTGGAATAAAGAGGATACTTCACTTGCATCCTCGATGTCACTTTCTTATACAGAAGTATCAAGGAATAAAAAGTGAGAAAAGAAAATGGGCCGTCGTGAACGTTGAAACAGAAAATCAATTGATGTCTTTGTCACCTAGTCAATTCAACAGGTTATTTGAAATATAATAGATGTTCTGGGATCTGTCGTTTCTATCTATTGTATCAGCTACTATTATCTACTATTATATTTACAAATAAAATTCTGGATTAATGTTTACATTTAATAACTGAAGTCCGCATTCAACTGAAATGCAATACCAGATGAATATGAAAAATTAATTTCAGTATATTTCATTTCAAAAGGTTTAAAAAGATTCGTGGATCTTTTTGTTTTTGTATAAAAAGCACTTAGACGTCCCGTTGAATTTTTAATTAACCTAGTTCACTGTGCGAGCACCTATGTTGGCATTATTTAAGCCTTAATTTAGAAAATCCTAATGAGATTGAAATCGCCCACCTTAGGATCTCTATTCATTTACAAACTTAAATAAGAATATTCATTACACATATTCTTTTCTATTTAGAATTGTTCAATTTACTCCTGATTATTTTATCTATTTTTCATCTTTCTTAAAAATATTCCAGAAAATATTAAATAAATAAATTAATACTTTATGAGGAATTTTATTTAGACAAAACTACTTTTTTAAAATATCGAAATAATCTTCTGTTTAATTAAAAAATAAATTTCATAAACGAAATAGATTTTGGAATTTTTAATCTGTACTAATTAAATTTTTTTGTTTCAGGTTCCTGCTTGAGCTATGGACATTCGTGTTGGGGTGGTAGGTTTTTACATCATTTGTAATTTCATCGTTCCTTGAATTGTGCTTATGTACTTTATATAATACATTGTTATTTCATAATAATTTAACAATTGCAGCACATGGTAAACGGAGTGGGGGACATAACAATGGGTATTTGTTACCATTAAAAGGAACGAATGAGATGCAACATGGAATACCTTTACTTACAAAGGAACAATTAATATTATCTCGTTTAATTGATCGGCCATTGATGTCTAATAAATACAAAGGAAGATGGGACGGACTATTTAAAGTAAAATCAAATTTTCCAGAGCATTTGAACGACGGTGATGTTAATACTCGCGTTATCAGTAATGAACCTATTCGGTAAGTTGCAAAATATGTGCAAGATAAAATAATATTTTAATATTTGCAGAGCGATTATCAGTGAAGGAGTGTTTCAATTATTTCTAATTTGGTTTATCTAAAATAATTATTTTCAATTGATATTCACAGTGATCCAAATAACGACAATGATATTGATGGTGGTAAAAGGAAAAATATGAATGATATGCAGGACATGATAGAAAGTATGAACAATGAGAAAAAGGAAGTTCCGGAAGTTGTACTGATATTAGGTAACAAAGAGAAGGAATACGCCAGTCAACCACAAAACCTTGAATTCTTGAAATTTTTGGTAATTTGAAACGCTATTAATTACAATATTTCCCGCTTATTGTTCGGCTTTTCACCTCAGTTATTATTCGACGAGTCATCTTCATCAGTTCTTGGAAATTTCATCATCGAGCAAGCGTCCTCATTCACACTTTCAATCTGTTTTATTCGACAAAAGGTAAGTCCGAGCAATTCTCATAATCAGAACGCCTATCACCCTGGATAATGTTCAATACGCGGCCGATCCACCGAGTATCGAGCGGGAAATACTGTATTTTACAGTAAAATTAATGTAAAATTATTAATGTATGTACTTCGGTCGGGAGTAACATTATATTTTTATTTCCAGAGTGAAACAAATGGTAATTTCGAATAACAGAATTTAATAGAGTTACCTCGATGCATAATTAAAATAGAAGTTGTCATAAACCTTATTATAACAAAATTAATAAGAATATTATTTGACTTAATTTATTAGCTATTATATTTCGCGAATAAAACTCGAGTGGCTGTCCTATAAATATTTTCAATGTCCTCAGTTTTATTTTTGTAAATATATCATTAATATTTTCAATAGACGTAACAGTTCTCTTAATTACTTTACCATACAACAGATACTTCAATTATAATTAACACATTAAGGCAATATCAATACAAATTGATATAAACAATAAATCGTGTACGAATAATAAATCAATTACTTCGAAAATAATTATTAATTTTGATTTTAAAATTCAATAAAGATTAGAGGAACAGTGGAAATGAAATAAAAATTATTTCAACAATTTAGGAAAATTCATTTATAAGATCCCTAAGGTGCACATAAAGAAAGATAACAACTCAATAAACCACAAAAAAGGCATACAAAATTTAGTTATAATATAACAAATAATTCAAGAAAACGGCTATACAAAAATACATTTTTGTCAAATTTCAAATACAATAATAAAACTAATCAATCTCTCATCCAAATATCAGTTAAACTAATCAATCATACAATAACACCCATCCATGACTCACCTTACAGTAAAATAATACATTCTTTCATAAAAGATGTTATTATAAAAATCATATAACTTTTCGAATCTTATGAATTCAATAATGTTTACGAACATTATTCATTTCTACAAATTATTTATCCCATTATAGTGTACGATTTTATTTGATTGTAAAGCAAATTATAGAGTAACATATTGAGTTAATTAAACAATAATCGAATTAGATAATAAAAAATGCCAATTTCGATTTTGCAATGATATGGTGCAGTTAATTTTATTAACATTATAAATTTCAATTAATTTATAACGTTTGTGCAATAACATCAAAACGTACATTTATATATTCGTATAATAATTTCAATGATATATCTTGATTAATTGAATAATATTATAAGTGATAATATAAGGAAATCGTCTACTTAAAAAACAAAACTTAAAATATTCTTCAATTAATTTCTAACAAAATTTTTCTTTTAGAAAATAAATCAAATAAAATGATTTGAGAAACAGTTACAGCAGTAATAGTCATCAATTACATTTATGTGCGAAACAATAAAATGACATTATTTTTTTTTCTCATGTGTCTTTAAAAATTATAAAAAAGATGAAGATTGAATTATTGTTTCTGCAATTGATTTGTAACATTTTTTACATGAATTTCAATTTAATTTGATCCTTATCATTTTCCATTTTGATCCTTAATAGGTTAACATTATTGCAGACAGCACGCCTTGAAAAAGATAAGCAAATATTTCAAGGAATAACGTTTTATTCGTTCTACTTTATATTTGCATGGTTTTGGGTGAAACATTAACAGTTGTGTTTTATTGTACAAACAGAGATGTCTACAGGTACATATAACAATAATAAAATATAACATCTGTTTATTGTTTCAACGAGAACTATGTGTATATAATATGAACAGTATTACTACTTAAATATAATTAAATATAATCTTTAAAATTAATATACCATATATAAAAAAAAAAGAAAAAATATATATAAAAGAAGGTATCTTCAAGCAGATATCATGTTGAACGTTAAAATATAAAAGTAGGTAATTAAAATACTTAACCAAAAATTAAGTATCAATTTTTAAGTATACATTTCCTGTCGAAATCCAAACTCAAAATACAGTAGAAATGCCTATCCATTTGTTTATTGTTGAGTTCCATTTATTTGTTATTGAGTTCCATTTCCGGCTGATGTAGACAATGATGTGACATCAACTGCAATTATTAATAAAATATTTAATTTCTTAAATTAATACAAAAGCAAATGAACAATTTGTATCTGATCCTTATTATGTTACATAATTATTAGTTTCATAAAATATTTCTTATTTGCTATCATTGATATTTATAATAATCAATTGAATGTTTTTAATTAAGTGGTTCTTAAATATTAATATAATTATGAAACTTAATATACCTATAATGAATTTGTACTGTACTTATCCTTCATTTGCTTTTGCATATCTTTCCAAAGTAATTTAAAATTCATGTACCCATTGCCGGACGATGGAGGGTAATGTGTAAGGATCAAATCCCAACGACGCCTGTCGACGAGGAAACAATACTTCTTGTCGTCCACGAGATTTTTCTTGTGGAATGAGGAATTGATTGCTCAGACGGAAAACACCTGTTTCATGGGTGTTGTCGCTTGTTGGCAGCTCGTTTCCTTGAAATGTAAGATCCCGGAAATGTGGATCGAATCTCTTGCCGTGACCACCGAAACAAGAATGTCCAAAAGCTGAGCAGCCACCTATAAAAAATGGCTAAAATTAGTTATTATTATTCTATTAATCAAGCTATTCTCTTGTTCAGAAGGGTGCGAGTAGAGGGATTGGAAGGGGTTAATTGGAAACGTTATTAGAAAATTAAGGATGCGAGACAAAATTTCTTTCTAAATATAACAATGAATTTTCGCCAAAAGTGAATATTCTCGATTTTACACTTTCCTAGCTGACGACAGTATCGTAAATATTAATGTTCGGATGCCACGTAACAACCTATTCCATTCAATTATTGTTTCATTTGAAATCATCTTTGGGTATTTCAGTATTTATACAAACGGATGAAAAATCCATTCCACGAGCACCCTTCCATCCATTCTACTAAAATGAATAGTTTCTAAATTGTGGTTTTACTAATTCCACTTTATCGTTCTCTATTTTTAAAAAGAAAAATAATTTTCACAGTGTATTTTCTTATCTATAACATAGCCTTTGTGTATGCTGAAAATTCATTGCTCTTAACGAGCTTTCTCACGATCAGTTCCCTTTCAAAAGGTCTCTGAAAGCTTTTAAAGCGCAAAAGAAGCTTGAAATCAATGATCGATTAAAGCCAGCCCTCGTTTAAGGATAATAATTGAGTGAATAAGTTCGCGCGCGACGCCCTCGCTCGATTCATTCGTCCTTTTTTTTTTTCATTGCTCCTGCGGACCACGTATAACAAATCACGTTTACCCCTCCGCTTTTTAAGTTAGCTTTCAGTTTAGCCGCTCGTGTTCGACACGATTCTTGTTACTCCTTTTTATTTTCGTTACGTTCGATTTGTAATTTCTTGTCGAAAGAGAACTGATTCGTGTCGCGCATTCGTATTTATTCCCTATTTTTAACAATTACACGGGAAATTTCTTCTTTTCGCAATCTGAAACTCCTTCCATTTCTATTTTTAAGCATTCTGGAATTATTATCGTATAAAACTTCTATTTGTTACTTTTATTATTCTAGACCTCGGAATAACTTTTGAATTGCAATATTTATTTCATTGTCAGATATTTATTACCGAGGACTGAATTTATCTTACTTTCCCCTTGAAAAGTTGAAAAATTTCAAAAAGTGCTTCGAGAACGATATATGTCGAGAAGATAGTGATGGTACAAAGTAAACAAAGATATAAGATAATACTTTTACGCGCCATATCGCTATCATATTTTGTGTACTTTACTCTTTAAACCATGTATAAATTTTGCATGATATCTTTGAGTAATAAATTTCTCACTTCGATCAATCACCATTGAAAACAGATTTAGAAAATTATCAAAAAAAAAAAAAAAAAATTAACAACAAAGGTCTATAGCTAAAAACTTGGAAAGATTAATGAATTACAATAAACTTGTTTTCGAGAAAATGTATAGTACAGAAGTATCGTGTTGAAAAAGGTAAATATTAACGATTGCATAACATAAATCCAGGTATTGTTTTAAAACGAGAGACAGAGTTATATCTGACACTGTTTGGGTTACCAAAAAATTCAACAATCTAAAAAAATGAATTGAACACGAGTGTAAATCAAATTTTACCTTCACCCTACGTTATATGTACTTCAAAAAAATAAATTCTATCTAAAATGAATTCCTAAATGTCATGACAACTCGCATGATCCTCAACCTGTAATGACACGTTGTACATCTTCTTTTTATTGCTACTGTTGTCTGTTACATGATATGTTGTGGCAGTTTATACATAGTGAAATCACGAGCTGGATTAATGTTATTCGATGCTTTTCGAATGATTTGAACAGCCTGACAGATGTTACGTATTCGTGACTTTGATATGTAAATTTCAATCTCGTCATCTGTTAATCATTCTCAATTTATTCAGGCTGTCCTGTAATTGATGATATAATTAAAATAATACCGACCGTATGTAAAATAAATAAATATTATTGCCTTCATTTGACAAATTTCAATTATGATGTACAAAACGCACTGTACATAGTATAGCAATTATTGCTTGCAATTTGGAAATTGGCAATTTTACAGTATATATTAAACATGGCTTTCCAAATGCCACGAACTTTGCACAAACTGATTTCTGAATAGAAATTTGAAGTTTGCGTAAACTTAAACCAAGAAGTTGTTGTATCTGTATATTTGCCTTCGAAAGTAATTAAATAGAACAAATATCGAATACCAGAAAATAAAATTCATGAATAGATTTGCGTGGCTTAAAGCTGCAATGGTTGTGCAAATAAAACGAAACACAATTCTTACGAAGCAACAACTTGCTCGACCTCGTTTTGTAGATAGAAATGACATTATTCCCTCGATCGAGTGATTTAATAAAAGCCAGGACGAATCTGCTAGTACCGTATACATTTAAAGCTTGATGCAACGATATTTAGCATTTCATTTAACTCTCCTTCTTTTTTGATCAACAAAACTGGTTTAACTGCAAAAAATTTCATATTATACGGTTTTGTTCGCCTCAGACAATATTCAAAACCATTGAAGGAATAAGTGCATTAAAATGCATTTTCTGTTATCCCATGAACATAACAATAAATGGAATTCTGAATTATTCAAAGAGAATGTGTAATAATAAAATAGTCTCTGCTTAGAAATGTTTCACCCAAATGTATATAACAGAATATTTCAGAAAAATTATTTTTCTAAAAAATAAATATTGTTGAATTATATTTTTTTAAATTAAACATAATCCTTTGGAATAATGTTATTCTAATTTTAACACGATTTATTTATTAATTACTGTAATTATTCGTAAAAATTAGGAAATGCAACAAAATCGTTAATTAATCCTTGCATTGATTAATGATTTCTGGGAAGGTTACATTGATTGACCAGCAAAGGAAACAGTTAATAATGATTGTAACGATATTAAATGCATACATAGGTAATTCTAATACGCTCTCAGAATAGACAGATGGAATATAAATGTATACAATTTCATGTGATATTTTAAGAACGTCGCATGAAGTAAAATTAATTTTCTTCCATCAATGAGTATAGAAATAGCCTTTAACCCAAATATAAATACAAAAGTCTGATACTATTGTTAGAGTTTCAGGTGTATTCTTGGCTGCACCACCTTTAAGAGTTATTAGCGAACTACTCAGAAACGAATAATTAAAAAATTGAACAAGATAAAGTGTTATGGCTAAATAACTATGTTCAAGACTTTTCAGACAAGTCATTTGTTACGCAAGTCTATATAAAAAAAAAAACGTGATGAGAAGTATTCATTAATCCTTCGATCGAACGTGTTCAATCTGTAATCAATGAAACAACAACGCGACGCTAAATAATGACGATAACGAACTCGTGGACGTAAAGTATTTGCCCGGCAATATATGTTTAATCACTGTTTTCATTTATTGCATAACCGGAGTGTATGCAATTTCCGGATTTCCTGCAACTTTGCAAAAGTGATCACTCAACTCGTTACAAAATTACTAGTCCTCTTATTTGAAAAGTTCACTTAATGATCTTTAATACACCTCCAATCGTTGTAACGAAAGGTAGAATAATTACCCAATTAAAGGTAAAAGGTGCAACGAATCTAAAACAATGGCTTCACGTTTATTCCCGGAGAACCGATAACAACGTTTGGTAATGAACTAGCCAGATGTTTAGAAGATAACAAGCTATTCAGAAGTTTACTTCGTTAATTCTGCTGTGAGTGTAAAAAAAATAAACACAATATTTTATAATTACATGTCAACATTATGCAGTGTGAGTTTCATTCTTATTGTCAAATCCCCTTTTCCTTATAACTTCATTAATTCTTAAATGAAACTCACACTGTTATCGTGAGCAGCTATTTCCACTTATAAAATGCATTAAAGATTTCAATTAAATTCCCAAAGGGAAAGAAATCATTAATTAGCGTTCAGAATGAGTTTCCCAATTGTGCAATTTCCACATCAAACTAAAACAAGTAATAATATTATGTTTTCGGATTTAATAATAAAACTGAGAAGGTTTCATAGTAGCTGGCCTTAAAACTGTTTCAGGGAAAATTATTTACCATAAACACGTAATCGTTGCTCTAATTTCAAAGTATATTGTTTTCAATCTTCTCTAATTGAAAAATATCAGAAATGTTTCGTTTTATACATCTTCAATAAAATTTCCACTTAAAGAAACTTATAAATTATTAAAAAAATAATAATCGAAACACTTAAATTGAAACATGATGTTGGCCACAATCATTAATTAATAATTACAGTCTCTACATCATACAGCTATTATAATTCTATTGAGAGATCAACAGGTATTTACAGATAAAAAAGAAAATTGCTTTCGAGAAGCATCTTATCGTTTCTCTTATTTAAACCAATTCATACTTGATCAGCCATCGATTCACCTTTTATATTTTGAAACGGACGACTGCAGCGACGGGTAGGATATAATATAGGTACCTTTTCAACTATAAGTAAAATCCATTCCCATCATATTTTTCATACATGAAAGTAGACGGAATAGAATTACATTAACAGATATAATGGAATTTTTGCAGTAAAATAGAAAAGTTTTGTAATATTTTTGATAAACGGTTTCTTGTTCTTAGAAAACTTTTCTATTAACCCTTGTACAACGGTATTTGGGTCAATTGAGACCCCACATTAGAAAATACACATATAAGTTGAATGTGTAATTTTAAAAGGAACAGTGTAAAACTTAGAAAATAAAAATAAATTAGGATACAAAATCGAATTAAAATTGAGGCTCTCTCCACGGTCCTCCATCCAAGGGTTAATAAAATATTTTATTAAAGTATCAAATACTCTTAAAGTTGCTTTTATGGTATTAGAGACATCTGTGCTGTTTCTCTTGTTCTCGTTAAAATTAAATAGCGAAATAAATAAAGTGTCATCCGGTTGTATGATGACTGACGCGATACACATTCCATATCTGTCACAAGCTAACATTTCAATTATATCGGTAGTAATCCAGTGAAACAAAAACGTACGAGAGTCGTTAAATTCAAGGCTTTAAGGTATGTCTCTCTTTTCTCCTATAGCCGAGTTTTTATATTCCAATAAATCAGTATTTCAAGGAGTTAAAATTTTTAATCACTAAAAAGATTGAAATCGAGAAATGGGAATTTATGGAAAACCAACAGAATAAAATAGAATGATGCATGTCATACATCAAAAAATTCTTGTAACAGACTTCTCTGTGCAATTTTTATCGTGAAATTTTTTAAAATGAAACGCTTATTCGATTTGTAGTATTCAACATTATTTACTGTCAGCTATGAATGATTTCAGTTGCTTCGAAATGAAAAACGGATAGGCGATATTTATTTTTTGGAAATATGAATTTTTTCTATTTTTCAGATATTGAATTTTGTATGAAATTAAACAACATATGTTCGAAAATGGTAAAATACGAGAATAATGTCAGTGATGCAATAGATTCAATTTAACGAACGTTTTTCATTAGACAGAAATTACTATCGCGTTTATTAGTCGTTAGCAAGTAAATTCAATTCGTTAATCATTAGAAGATTGTAATTGATTATCGTTACGTTTAAATGTTAATTTACATTATTTACGTAATTTAACGTTATTTAAGTGTTGTCGGTTAGAATGTGCGTGCTCATCGTGAATTATTTTGTAGACAAGAAAAGCGGAATCGAACGATCGATTTTTCATTATTAACGCGGAATAATTGACTCGCACGGAAGAAATATGTTTATTTCACGTGTACCCCTTTGTTTTGATAAGGTAATTATCGAAAGACTCGTTACTGTCTTTTAACAACAAACGTCGAACATTTTCTTTTTTATTTCGTTATTATTATTGAAAAATTAAATTGTATTACCGGATTTGTTTTTTAACTAAATATTAATGCAAAAATTTCATCAGAAGAAAAGAATGAAATCCCATATTTTCAGTAGACTGAAAACACTTATCAAACAAACGCAAAATTTTCAGAAAACTCATTTCAATAGTAAATATGGTAAATATTTGAACAGTAGAAAAATTCATTTTCAACCAGTCTCAAAATAAAACCAAACAAGTATTTCCTTTCTTCGATCGTCCCTTACCCTTTTCATTAAAAGTCGTCATTAACTGCGATTCACTTAGTCGAAAGCAATCCACGATTAATTAGCAGCAGAAGTACAATAAATATAAACATATATCCAGTTACGTGCAAGCACACCATGGGGTATAACACGAAGCTGCACATTCGAGGCTCTTTGATTTTTCTTTTTTAATACATTTCTTACGTAAGTAATCTGCACGTATAGATATTTCTGATTTGTAAAATTCATAAAAGAATCGAAAAGAAAATAATCGAGACGAGGAGAAAGGATATTGTTCGAATCAGATTTTTTTTCCTTAATGGTTCACGATGGTATGTATTACAATTGAACATTTGGATTAAGTAACGCGTAATGTTAAGTGAATAATCTTTGTTTGTCGCCACAATGAGAACTAATTTAAGTTTAAATTACATCACACATCTGAGAATCATTCGTATGTCTGGTATTACGTAATTTGGCAATCCTAGATACTTTTCATTTTCTAGAATAATGTTTATCCCTCGAAAGACTAAAGCGGCGCACGTTGAGCCTACCGGTTGGAAAATATTGAAAATATTGTTTTCTGGTTGGAAATTTTCCAAAACATTATTTATTTTCATTTACATAATCACTTTGATTAACCACCTCACCCATATATGGTTCAGCCTATCACCCCTATTTTTAGGAATTCTTATAATTATCTAATTAAACGGTACCTTTACTATGCAAACGGTACTCGAAGTAATAAAAAGAATCAAATATTTGTAAAATTATGTTTTGTTGAAATGAAATTTTCTGAGTGTGAAAAGGGTAAACTGTCACATATGTCGCATGTCCGAGCGTCAAAATTTACTATTCCTCGACAAAAGCAGCGAATATCAAAAAATTCTCAATCATAAACGTAGACACAGCTATTTTCATATATCTGTTAGTGCGTTGCGACAATGCTGCTTCCTTTTATAAAAGAGAAAAGCAAAGCATTTGTCCCGATTTCACTATCGGTTTGTTCGTTAAACGTGAACCGTCTTCATTCGTAGTTGGTCGAAACAATAGGACACATTGTCCCATGGAAATCTTCGTTAAATAAGTCCCACAGATATTGGATAGCTAGTTAACGACAAGTATTATATTCAAGAGACGAAAAAATTGGAAAATTATTCATCCAGAATAAACGGACTTAATTTTCCTTTTTAACATTTTCATGCGGTTTTAAGCCTCGCATCTTTTTCTAACATTTTTTTTTTAATGTCCCCTTAATTGATTTTCTAGGAAACTATCAGAAAAGTGGTTAGTTCGTTCTGCAAGTCAAATTGATTGCCTCAAAATCCTTCGTTGATGGACTTTTCTGGATGAATTTCATGAGCTCGCATAAATTTTGTTTAAAAATTTTCTTACTGCTTAAAAAAAAGGCGTAAATACGCACAAAATATAAATATTAAAAGCAATCAAGATTGAATAAAGTATTAAATAAAAACTCCCCCTTGTGTTTGTAAAAAAATTATCACATAATTAACAAACAATTAATTACAATTACTGTAACTAATAATGCTACAAAACCTTCCAGAGAAATTCGTAGCTTTAACTTTCCAAATTTTACTATCTATAAAGAATTATTATAACTAACTTTAAAAATAAGTAAAAATAGAAAAATGAAAAGTAATTTCAAAAAAGAAATAGTTAACAAAGTTACAGAAGTCATCATCCCTTTATGCTTGAAAATGTGCCTAATTCCTAACAACTGAACACCAAGTTCCCCCCAAAATCTTTGAGTACAAAATATGTCCATGTATCTGTCGTATTAAATATCACAAAATTCGTCACAATTTTTGCAAATGGGGTAAGAATCACTCACGTTTAGCATAGGTCGTTCCAGTAACACATAGCAGAACGATGATCGTGAAAACGGAAACGGAGAGCGGGAAACCGGAAGCGGCGTTCTTCCTCATCTTGTTCCTCACTGGTATACCGACGAATTTCTCTAAACTGTAGAACCAGGTGAACCAAGAGATCCGATGCTTCCTCGACGAGCAGGTGGTTCTGAATGGACGTTGGGACCGTTGCGCGTTCCTTCTTTTACCGGGGCGGAAGCTAGAATGGCGCAGTCGACATCCCCCATGGAGCATGCTTGTAAGCACGCAGACATTGCGGGTGGTTTTTACTCACGTGTAACAGCGGTTACATATATATAGAATTTGGTGTACGTGCCGAATGCAGTATGATCAAACTTCTTGAAGGTGATACGATTTCGAAGGTCGTTTAACCCTTTCATGTCCGAATAAGAGGGCGGTACCTGTTTAATGATTTCTACCCGTAGAATCTATTTAAAATAAGGGATGTAGACGCGATCACGTAGACAAAACTGTTCAAGTGGAATTTAATGATGGTAAGTTTCTTACCATCCGAATGAAAATTTATTATTACAGAGAAATAGCTAATGGTCAAATTCGAAATTACAAAATTGCAAATTAAAGCACTCGATGAAAGTTAAATATTTCTATTGAACGAACGTACGAGCATGACTGCATATCACGCTAATTCGTGTTAATTTCTTTTATCGCCCTTTGCCTCCAGAGCTTTTTCCCATATCCAATTTATGTATTCAATAGTTTAACCTTTTAAAAGTGTAACATAAAGGAACTTCTCGAAAAGAGCATATCCAACAATCCCTTGTAAAGAATCATTTCTGACTAACAATAAAAATATTACAGAAACAATGTCTAGCTGTAGACATAATGTACGAAATCAATTATCTTTATTGCATTTTTAAACAAAACGAAGAGTAGAACGAAATGAACAGAATTTTAGTTCAATTAACCCTTTCATGATTTACAAGGATGGTACAAGGATGAATTACCATTCATATACGCCATTATTAATTCTAAAGATGAAATATAATACACAGACGTAACATAAATACAGAAACACAACAAAGAAGAAAATTGAAGTTACGTTTGTGTAATGTGTAATGCAAAGTACTCAACAATTTTGCTAAACTTTACTTAATCCTGTCCACTTTATGGTTAATGGTTTCGCGATAACGTGTCTATCATGAAAATTGCATTTATAGTCACAGATTATCAAGTGGATAATGTACTTCTTTTCCATTCAAACAATTTTAAAGCACATCATTTGAAGGATTATTTTTGTAAAATCCTTAAAAATTATGCGTTTCGTTGAAATGTTTGACGATTCTAAGAACCGTCTATTAACCGGAAAATAATTTGAAAATAAATTGAAAATTTGGCCAAATCTGAAACAGAAATTTAAACATTCCTACATAGAACAAAGTGCAGGTGGAAGTAACTCGTATAATGGGAAATGGAAAATTGCAAAAGGTTTCAAAATTGTTCTAAATGTGGGTAGGATACAGGAGGCCTTATTATGCGTCCAGCTTGTTAACTAATATTGCCGGTAAAATTGGTTGGCAAGCGAACTAACGGAGCTCGTAATGAGTTTTGACCATCAGTGAACTACGAATTAGAAATTGAAATCAATTTTCAGAGGAAAGCTTGAGGTTAATATGTAAATTCTAGTTTGACATCCTTAATTCCTTTGATCTTTACACTCTGAAATTAGAACGATCAGTCTTGCAATTCGGACACCTCTAAATCTTCATTTTGAAGAATTTTCTAGCCAAAAAAGGGTACTCCATTTAACGGTCTGAATAACAACTAAAATCCTGAGAAGTTCACATAATCGTACAGTGTCGAAGCATGTTTCGTATAATAGAAAGTTTCATCTTCATTTGAAAACTTGTTTCTCTCCTCATTGTTCCCACTGTATCCCGTTTAGAACCAAGAATAGCATATCGAAAGTACTTTGGAGGAATGTAATCGGATAAACTAGCAAGGAAATAATCAAAAGAAATAGAAATACGAGACAAATAAGTAGAGTTTCATCGTTAGTAATTTCTTAAGGGAAATACAACTTTCGCCATTACTTTTACAGACAAATCTGAAAGGGAAATAAATTGATTAACTTGAAGAATTTGGAAAAAATTGGAATAAATAAATAAAAACACGAATGCATCATTTCAATTTCTGAAAAATTATTATTTATTATACCCAAGAATTACAGTAAACGTAGATGAAATACAGAATTTGTCAATCTCTTCAAAAATTATTATCATCGAGTTATAAAACATCTAATAAAATGGATGCAGAGATTTTCTTGGCATAGACGAAAGATTGCTCGTATTTCTTCCTATGAAGTTAGTTGAACATAAATCAACTAAAAATGATTTGCACCCTCTTCTTTTATTATAATTGATCGACACGTGTTACAGTTGCATATCATGTAATATTAATTTTCCTTTTTTAAAAATAATTTTAAGAAGTTATAGTAGCCAATGCGACTGTTATATTATCAAGTAAGAATACCTTTCTAAGAAAATGGTAGTAAATCATAATTCTCTAGTATAATACATGTCTCGAGTTATTTTGAAAATTTTCTCAAACGTTTATCAAAACCTGGCATTTTAATATTTCTTTTTAAAAATCTTTCCACGTGAAAACGAATCTTCTATTATTAATACAATACTTATATTTTTACTACCATCATCTTGGCCATTAGGATAATCAATAATGAGGATCGTTAGCAAAGAAGAGCTTGTCATCGTTTGCATTTAATCGTGACAACAGGTGTATCTCATTGTACATTTTTATATTGTGTATTCTTTAATTATACTCACAAGATTTATACTAAACTTCAAATAATATACAATGAAAAACATCTGTTTTTTAACATTTTCAATTAAATCATTGAAGAATATTTATCTATAATGTATTTCATAATTTAATATCGATTGGATTATTTAAAGTAATACCATCTGAGATTTTTTTAATCAAGTTTTTTTATTTCATTTTTTCATTTATTCCAAAATAGATAGTTAAATAATAATACTATTGATAGCTAATAGTATCTGTCCCAGGTAGAAAGCAATAATTTAATTATCTATCAAATAATCAAGTAATTATAATTAAGCTTTGCAAACCTACTGCAAATTCTAGAAATACCGAATTAATAACTGTTGTGTGATTTAACGGTAACATACATAAACGTGTGAGCGTACACTATTCATATGCATCGAAATGTTATCATTGAAACACATGACATATTCTCACGATTTATTGGACAATTCATCGCCGTATCAAACTTGCTTACGTCAAGAAGAATTAATTTTTAACAAATTATTTCATCCCCTTCAACCCCACAAATCCCTTGATATCATATAAAAGTATAAGTTGTCTGTTTTACGATTTTATTGTTTAAATTGTTATTTTTTCAATTATGAAAAATAACAAATATAATTACATAAATTTTACACAGGTACTATCTTTTTTATATATCACGATACATTATGTATTTATACAGACATTCTATAGAAACATAAATAAGTCATAATTGTTACATATACTTTTTGGTTTCATAAACATGTTTATTACAGAAATTTAATGTATTGGAATTGAAATAGATTGCACTTAAATAGTAACATTTATAACGTTGCAAAGGTATATGCGTATAAATTACATACATTATTATTAACATTTTTGTTTTATGTTTTGCATGCTTCGATGAAATCATTGGTTGTTGGAAAAATATTCACACAGTACTTAAGCATTCTATTAGCATATATTTAAATTGTTTGCTGAGTTTCCAACAAGCATCTCTAACGTTTGCTACTAATGTATATTGTATATTGTAACACATGTAGATCAATGATGTATTACTATTTATCTGTTTTGTATACGTATATAGGAAGAATTCTAATTCAAATAAAACTAACATTTTTAATAAAATATTTCAATATGTAGCTTACTAGAATAATGGTATTAATCGTTACTAGTGTCATTTGTTACTATAAAACGTAAAACTTCTAACAAATGTAATAAATAACAATGATACATAATATACATTTACATATGTAAATATACATATGTATGTACATTGAAAGTTACCAAGAACTTACATTATTTCTAAACGTCCGTATAGAACGCTTTTATAGAATATCCTAATATTCAATAACAAAGTTGAATTATTTTCGTTACTTGGCTAACATCATTGAGGTAGTTATATGAAAATAAATATAGTATCACCTTTTTTTATTTGATTTTTATCTTATGCAACTTGAGCTTAAATCCAAGTAATTCTGAAAGCACCCCTGAAAGGGCAGATAATAATACTACTTTCGTAATTGTGTATAAATAGGGATTAGCTGATAATCCAGATATTTTAAATGGACACTCAAGTTCCTGTAAAGATTAATAATAAGAATTAGTTAATTTATAAACTTGTAATACAAAGAATTATAATTTTCCATTACCTTTATCAAATCTGCTGCTAATTTGAGTACATTATTTGCTACCATAAGCTCCTCTTTTTTATGTGGTTTTTGCTCGATTTGTAGATATAAATTAATCTAAAAATATACAAAAGTAGTATGCTTAAAGAAGTATAATGTATTACGCATTGTAGATATAACATTTATTTCATTTTAATTACCTGTTCGGTTATTAAAACAGAAAGATTTCTATATTTCTTATTAATTTTCGTACCCAGCGTCATGAAACGCAGTATAAATATTCCAAGAGAAAAGCTCCAAAAGAGTGCTTCAACATTATATCGGGAATGCAAACTTTCAAGGTCCTAGGGAGTTGTTATAATTACAGTGTCATTTCATCCAATTATAATATTATTTTGTATTTCATTTTTACCTTAATTAATTCCAAGCTCACGAATGACAACAATAATAAGGTAACAATAAATACTGCTGATACTATTACGTCCACGGAACGTTGCGGGCCTCTTCTCTGTAACAAATAGTAAATTCAGTAATTTCACATGACAAATTTTATATGTAATCCTTCAATTTACCTTTAAATAAGATCTAACACTTAACCACAACTTTATATTGCGTACTTTATTTAGTCGAAAATGTGGTAAGTCAGATTTCCTTGCACGTCTTGATGATGTTAAATGTGAAAACAATTTAGCATATAAGAGTCTTTGTTTATAAGTACGTTCAGCAACTGCTAATAAAAAAAATAATAAAGACGACAATATAAGTCTCTCAAATGCTGATATAAGCACTACCATGCGTTCCCTGGAATCAATTGTATCACTTACTAATATTTCTTAAACGTAATTTATTATATTTACAATAATTTTGGTATTGTTCATAACTTATGTAATTATTCTTATCTCGTATTTACCAAAGAGTTGTCCCAAATGCCAAATCTATAATTTTCGATAAAATATCGCTATACGTCTCAAAATTGACATAAGTCAAATCATTTGGTATTAAGGAACTAGTTACATTACTACTATTATCCATTCCAACAAGATCACTTAATCGTTTAAGAGATGGTATTAATGATAATACTACACTAAGCATTAGGCCTCCATAAAAATAATTCATACTTTCAGGCATTGACTCTACTCTAGCAATAATAGCTGAACTAATATCCAGTACCGATAATTCAGCCTTTTTTATATCACGACGTGTCCATATAGTACATGAAACTGAAATATAATGTATCTTTAATCATTGCATTCTTTAATGCATTAGCTTGCAATTCTGATTTATTTTATTACACATTACCACGGTCGTATGCAGCACAATTCGAACTAAGCATTATAGAGGGTGGTAATCCAAATTCCCATGAAAATGGATGCTCCCCAAATTCTCCGTAATTTTTGTCTCTCTCACTATGCAAATCGGATTCTTCAAGTTCTGAACTGAAAACATATAAAAGAAAATAAGTTATAAACTGAAAGGGATGATAAAAAATTAATTTTACAATATATGAATCTACACCTGTAACTACAATCATCACTGTTGGTAGTTACTCCCATCCATTCAGTAGCAGATGTAGTCGCTTCTGTTAAATGATTCGTAACTGTTTCCTCGCACTCTCCTTCTTCTTCGCTTTCACATTGTTGGCGGCCTTCTCTTGATCCTATTCCCATGACACAATGATCTTTATCCTTTAGAGGTAACTACAATTTTAATACCATTTACATTGTTAAAAATAAGGAAAAAGTAACTTTGAAAACAAAATATATTAATTTAAAAAAAAAACACTTACTACTTTATTAGAAGCTTCTGCCTCACTATTTGAAGAATTATTTTCTGTCTTTAATAATTCAGGTGCTGCGTGGAAAGTGGAAGACAATCATTTTAGCTAATAAAGATTAATAAAGATTAAACAACAAAGATTAAAGCGTATTAGCAATTCAAAACAGATAATAAAATTCTAATATGCAGTAAAATAAATATTATACTTTTATTTAAAATATCAAATGAAGATATAAATAAAGTGATCAACAAATAAGAATAAATTTAATTATTTCATGTACTTAAAATAAAAACATTATTTTTAATATACATCATACATTACATCTTAGTTTATTATGTATATAAAATTGTAATTATAAGTTCGAATAAAACTTGGTACAAATCAAACCTGAAAATTTCGGTTGCAGTAAAGATGGTTGATTGGTAGAATCTTCCGACCAAGGAACGTGGTCTTCATTAGTTTTAAGTAATGCATCTCTTTTTTGCTTAAATTTCTCTACTGTAGTTTGTGCAGCACTTTTATCATTATCACTAGATACATTTCCATTTAAGCTTTCAAAACCATCATCATCTTGATGTACGTTTTTCATATTTTGATCTGGAACATCATCTACAACAAAAAAGATATATTTTGCACTTAAACAAAAACATCTAATTAAGATAATATTAATTATATTATTACTGCAGTATATAACATATTAACTTGATTCAGTATGACTAGCTGAAGCTTCATTTATAGGAAGAGGATTGTTCGCAACAGCATTGATTGACTCATTATCACAGGATGCTTGAGCAGTCACAATTTCCTGGACAAAAAAATTCTCATAAAAACAACTTCAAAAATGATGTATGTCTACATGTATGTAGAATAATGAATTGTAATTACCTGCGACCGACTAACAGTCAATGAATTTTCAATTACAACTTTTTTAGCAAATCTTACAGATGTTAATACTTCACCACTTACTGTACTAGCTTTTTCAGAAGCTGTATCTTGAGATGATTTAGAATCTTCGTGTAAACCTATATAGTATATAACAATTACAAATTAAAATACCCATAGAAACTGAAACAAATTGTACAATATATACATATCAATTAAAATTTACGTAAGTTTTGTCTTGTCCTGGATTTTCCCATTCGACATCTAGTGTGTCGCGAACGCCTAACTACTCTTTGTTTACTTTGTCCATCAACTATTGTTGGACCTGAATGAGTTGACACAATATGAGAATGAACGATACATAATGTCAACATCATAATAGCAGGTATTAATACTTCTGATGTTGTTACAACCTATAAATAAATGACTTAATTATCAAATACTTATACTCAATTGCAAATCTAATATAATTAGTTCATACATCACTTTCATTATCCTTAGACATATGACAGAAATATATGCACATATTGATCAACTGCAAGCTATATAATAATAGAAATAAAATAAAAATTTGTAAACTAGTTTGTTGTATCCACCATTTTCTGTATAAAGGAAGGAATAATAAGCGTTGAAGTGCTAAGCAAGCTACTGTTGACAATCCATGCTTTGGCTTTGCTTTTGGGAAAGAAGAGCCTGCAGAATTAAATTAGATGAGTACAAAAGAAAATATTAAATATTATCAAATTAAATATATAAGCTACCATCTTCTTAATTTACCTCGTACAAGATCTACATCAATAAATTCTGTTTTCAGTTTTGCAGTTCTCATTGGAACATGGGTAAATCCTCCAAGAATATGTTGTTCCACAGTTTTTTCCCATTGCTGTTTATCATAAGTACCAATTTTCTTTTGATACCTAAAATATCAAAACCATTCATTACACTATATTTAAGCTTCATTGGATAATTTTCATAAAAATAAAATAGTTAAAACACTTACCAATAAACGAGCTCATTCAGTTTCATTTTTGCCAATCACTATCGCAGTCGTACAGAATGGCTATTAATTTTTAACTTTAACCAATAATCAACAATATTTAAACGAACGGAAGATGATTTTCCGTATATTTTTGTCAACAAATTTAAGAAAAATGTTGCTCCCATAATACACGACAAACGTTATCTGTCAATATTCTATTCAAGGTATTTGACCAGATGAAAAATATCACATACGAACGAATGTTCGTAACGCATCCAAATAATTTTTACGCCATTGCCTAGAAACAAAGTATGCAAATTCCTAGTAATAATTAAGACAGTAAAGTAGTAAGATTACATTTGATTATGTTTAATTTATGTATTTCCTAATAACATTTGGTACAAAGCAGTTCCACGCATGAAACTTTTTTGACCAAGTTCATCCGTTGTTGAAACCGTTAATATTAATATATCTTTAATAAAATTGTGAAACATATACGATAACCAATCCTATACTGATAAGCATTAAACCATAATTTCCATTGGTTCTTTTCCTTTTATTATATTTTTAGAGTTTCGTTAAAATAATGGTGTAATACTGTATTTTAAAAAGTACATTTATTGAAAAATTGAATCCAAAATTATTGTGATTTGCAATTAAATAAATAATCATGCATACTATGATACATAAACGCTGATTTTATACATATATCAGTGACTCAGTGATTACAGGTGTATAGAAAAATGCAGTAACTACAGATACAAAAAGACGGGACATATTGTTTTCGGGGTCCCAACTACCCCCAGGTGAAGTGGACGTCTGCAAGTAAGTACACAGCAACCCTCTGTGGCTCGGGGGGCTTAGAATACGGCCACGGTATCCCCTGCCTGTCGTAAGAGGCGACTAAAAGGGGGATGTAAAGGAACGAGTAAGATGAGTGGACTTAAAAGTACTATTTCTTCGGCAGTCGATAAGGTGTCGAGTAGTTTCCGCTACTTGTGTATAAATGGCGCAATGATGCAATGCGAAGATACTAGGACAAAGCAGATAGCGCTGGTTCTCAAGGCACAAATTCAAGTCTTGTTAAATGTGAGCGCGGGGCGTTCCACTAGTTTTTTATAAAATACATACAAGTTCGTGAATACAAAATTGTCAAACAATTATTTTAATCATTTTTGCATCCTGCGCTGCTTGCGATCAGTTTCTAAGAAATAGAATCAAAGAGAGTTAAAATTGTCTTTGCAGTTGCCAGTAAAAGTAGCTAGCTGCGGCGACATAGGGGAACGACATTGGCTGATCAGGCACCGTTATCAACCCCAGAGCAAAGTGAAACCTCCTCAGTCTTACAGTGACCGTCGAGGGGTGTTGATCTACTTGTTAAACATACATATATCCATATTTGATCTTCTGCGTTAATTTAATTTGCTGTATTTATCTTCTTAGCTTATTGAATAAACTCATTAAGAGCACGAACGTGTTGATTCTATTACATCTGTGTGCCTCGCCTATTATTTTATCCTTTTATTTATTATTTTACCCCTATTTTCGGGCTTCGTGTGGACCACCCCCCCAAGTCATTTATTATTTTATCCCTCTTCATGGGCCTCGGCTCGATCTTCCCAGGTATTTATTATTTTTTTGTCTTTAAGAGCCTCATGAGGCCCAACCCTTTATCACTGCATCCCATGCATGTCTGCATCCTTAACATCCCTGTATCCGTTACATCCCTTACATCCTTGTATCCCTTACATCCCTGTCTCCCTTACATCCCAGTATCCCTTACATCTCTTACATCCCTTACATCCCTTACATCCCTTACATCCCTGTACCCTTTCAACCCTTATAATAACTATAATACAAATAACACACTTATGGCCACTGGTTCGAGCAAAGGTAAGTAAAGTCTCGTGAAAAATAATTTTAAATTTAAATTTTCGCAAAATTTAATTCCTTTTTTTGCCACCAGATGGCGCTGATTCGAGGTCGAAATTTTAGTTCACATTGTTCCCGCTAGAGGGCCAAAATTGATGCATGGTTTAGTTCCTTTTTCCGAAACCAGATGGCGCTGATTCGACATCGAAATTTTAGTTCACATTTTTCCCGCTAGAGGGCCAAAATTGATGCATGGTTTAGTTCCTTTTTCCGAAACCAGATGGCGCTGATTCGACATCGAAATTTTAGTTCACATTTTTCCCGCTAGAGGGCCAAAATTGATGCATGGTTTAGTTCCTTTTTCCGAAACCAGATGGCGCTGATTCGACATCGACATTTTAGTTCACATTTTTGCCGCCAGAGGGCCAAAATTGGTGCATGGTTTAGTTCCTTTTTCCGAAACCAGATGGCGCTGATTCGACATCGAAATTTTAGTTCAAATTTTTGCCGCTAGGGGGCGCTTTTTTCGAAATTTTCGCAAAATTGAACTTACCTTTACTTACCTTTACTCGAAGCAGTCTTTATAATATATATATTTATTATAAGGGATGCAGAGATGTAAGGAATGTAGGGATGATAAGGGTGTAGGGTTGTAAGGGATGTAGGAATGTAAGGGATGCAAGGATGTAAAGGATGTAAGGATGTAAGGGATGGAGGGATGTAAGGGATGGAGGGATGTAAGGAATGCAGAGATGTAAGGAATGCAGGGATGTAAGGAAAGCAGTGATGTAAAGGATGTAGGGATGTAAGGGATGCAAGGATGTAAAGGATGTAGGGATGTAAGGGATGGAGGGATGTAAGGAATGCATGGATGTAAGGAAAGCAGGGATGTAAAGGATTTTTTTTTTTTTTTTTTTTTTAACGTGGGGAAATCTTGCATAAGACCCCCCACCGACCCCTGGGGGAGGGCGGCGGGGGAGTGTCAGATTCTTACTGACTAAAACCCCACGGCGACCGCCGACACTGTCGCTAAAGGAGGGCTCTGGGACCTTATGAATATTACTCCAGAGCCCTCCACATATTTACCTGCCACATTGGTACGCATCTCGGGTGCTTAGCATGTGGCCGATACCGGGGGTCGCACCCGGTACCGGCCTCTCCTCGAGCTGCGTGCTAAGGCGTCTGGAGCCCCCACTCCTGATGCCAGCAGCCCTGACCCCCGAGATAAAAGAAATGATCTAAAGAATAGATTTGAAGAGACTAATAATTTCGAAATAACCAATTGAAGACACGAGTAAAATATTGAACAATTTCGTAACAATTGCCAGTCAACTTTGCGTTCGTCAATTCTACTTTTTCCTTTTTGACGTTTCGTGGATCCGGCTAAATCGTCGTGTTGCATACCGGAAGAAGGCTCGCGTTGAACGGAACCGGATAGCTGATCCGACGAGCCCGTGTACCTATTCTACCGAACGCGATGGTCTAAATCGCGGACAAATTTCGTCTGTTAAGCTGGATCATATTCGAGTGTTTGGTGTTCTTCGATGTCGCGGAATCGTCGACTGTCTCTTGAACGAGTGGACGGTCGTGCGATCTCGCTGCCCTGACCAGCAGGAACATGAAATCGAAATCCGATTATTTTTACAATAACGCCGGAAATTCCTCCACGTGCCGCAGACATCGTAACCCGGTCACCGATCATCGTTTTACCGCGACGTCGAATCATCGTTAACGATCATGAGTCAATTAACAGTATCGTGCAATCCGTCAGGTTGTAAACACGGTTACTTTTTTAAACTGGGATAATTATAGCTTCAAATATTGCTTGTAAATTTTATCTATACTGACATATATAAAATAAAAAGTGGATAAGAACTGGGACAAAAATTTGGGAAAAGTTGAGGTTGTAAGATTTCAATTAAATGAATTTTTTCATTTGAGAAGGTTAAAATTTAACTTATTTTAAGGACTGATTAAATATCGGGGTCGGCTAAGAATTAATCAAGCTTCTAAACTATTCATTGAATACTATTTTAAAATTTAGAGAACGAGGAGTCTACGAGCGTGACAGAAAAAGTTACGACGCCGAGTCCAGGAACGAAAACCACGTTAACAGCTCAAAAAAACAGAACAGTTCGCGGTTCGACTCCCGTACGTGTTCACAAAATTAAGCAAAATTTTAAATACATAAAACATTAAGATATAATATTACCTGAATAATTTAGTTTCTGATCGTAATAAGGATACTTCTACTATGCAACTTGTTGCATACAATTTCAGGGAGACTCTGCAAGTAATACAACGGAAGATGCATTCTTTGCTAACAAATTGCAGAACAATTTTCCTCGTCGCACAGTCATGAAACCGTTGATCAGTCCCAGCCCGTACAAAAGGCCAGCTTCCGCTTCAACCTCTAGCCCAGTGAAGCTGGAAACCCAGTACAATACTAAAAAGAAGCGTTACCTGCAACTGAAGAAAGATTTGATGGATAAGCAGGTACACTTGGAAAAACGAACACCTCCGGGAAATAAATATTAATCGATTACCCAAAACGAACGGTGAATTTCCACAGAAATGCGCGCAGGATCTCTACAACGACATGTCTCAGCTGCGAGAGAAGGTGATCACCTCCGGAGGCAAGGATCCAGGTAAACTGGAAGACGTGAAGGTCGAGGTAGGATCCTCGAAACAGATACCATCCGGTGAGACAACGATCAGCAGAGAGCAGATGGACAATAATCTCGAGAAGCTTGCCATCGGTAACGAGTTCCTGAAAACTCTGGAGAGCAAGCTCGAGGGTATCCCGAAGAAATCGCAGAATCTTTGTTACGAGCTGTTGGACAAGCAATCGGAATTCGTGGCATTCATCACCTCGCACTTGATAAACGCCAGCGAGGTGGGCAGCGAAACGGACAACGCGATGGTCACGGTCCAGCTGGAGGCACATCAGAAGGAGTGCGACAGCCTGAGGAGCCGTTTGGTCGAGATAGAAGAAACGGAAACGAGTTCGATGACGGAATTGATGAAGAGCGTGCGCGAGCTGGTGCGCGGTTGCGAGAATTACAGAGCTAAATTAAAAGAAATGAAATTCATGGAGAACCAGAAGGAGCTGGAAATTCAATTACACGCTACGGTGGAGGAATTGCAATTGGAACGCGAGAAGAACAGCCAGAACAAGGAACGCGTTCGAGACATGGAGAATAAATTGCAGAAAGCACGATCGAAGATACGGGAACTGGAGGCGCACGTGGCTAACGACGATGGAAAGATTCAACAGTTGCAGACCAACGTGAAGAACCTGGAGACACAAATTAAACAGAAAGATCAGTCGATGGATGCGAAGCTGAAGGAAATGCAGAGAACGATGAAGAGCAGCAAAGGCTTGGTCGACAAGGTGGAGAAACAGCGGGACACTTTGGAAACACGGTTGTTTTCTTTATTTCCTAGCGGATCGTATACGATCGTTTTAACCGTAAGGCTAGATTTCCTTTTTCCTCTCCTCTTGAACCTGGCCTGCTTTAGGCTGGTGGAATTGAAGGAGAAGATGAACAGCAAAGAGAACGACGCGATGACTACCATCAAGGAGCTGTCCGAGAAACTGAACGAGGTTACTAACGAAGTTGGAATCGAAAGAGACAAAAGGTGAAGAGAAAACCTTTCTTTCTAGGAAAAATACCAAAAATCATTTATCTTTATAAAGGCATGAAATGGAGGAGGCTTTCAGCGAATTGCAGGAACGGTACAAGAACCTCGAAGAGAAGAGTCAACAACTATGCGAGCTCGCAGAGAAGAATAAAGATTTCACGATTATAGGTACGAAACGTAATTTCAATAAGAATTTAAATTATTAAAATTACAAGCTTCAGACTTGACAGATAAATGAAAAATAAATCATTCCTTCGATTGTCAGAGGGAAGTCACACAGAAAACGAAGTTCGCTTGTACAATGAGCTAGAGGAAGCCAGAAAAGAATTGAAGGACCAAACGCAGATGATGCGTCAATTGCAACAAGAGAAAGAGGAGATCGTTGCAGTGATGCATCAGGCGGCCGTTAGTTTGCACTACTTTCGGGACATGTCCTCGTATAAGTCCTAAGAACTACTCAACGCGATCATTTCGTTCGTTGGATACACTTTTATACAGGACGAGGTTGAATTCGTAGGAAGCTAATAAAAATAATATTTGTTCATGGAAAATTAGAAGAATTTTTCAAAATTCCACCACGAATTCAACCGAGTTCTGTATATTACAATGACTACAATAAAATAATTTTTAATTATCTGCTTTCTGCATATTCTTCCTTTTCCCATGGGCCAGAATCACGATGAAGAAGAAGACTCAAGGGAGAGGCTGGCTAAGGAATTGGTATTCAAGACTAACGAGCTCCAAAACCTGATGATGCAGCATTCAGAACTGAAAAAGGTTACAAAAAACGCGTAAGTTATGTATATAATTAAATAGAATGTGTACACTATGTCCGGTTAAATTATTAATAAGTCGAGAGAAGGAAATAAAGAATATCAGGTGAAGCAATACTTACATTGAAGCCAGACGCAGTGTAGGATATTCACCCCCGTGATGAGGCCATTTTTTCAAAGTATCATCCGTAAGTCGAAACAATGCTACAAACAACGCTCTTCTTTCTTTCTGTGAAACAGCCAAGAAAGAAATGGAATATTAGAAAGGCAGTTGATGGAGATTCAGAATCGACTGCAATCTCAGTTAAAAGAGGGTGGCAGAGTTGGGTTAAGCGCTCATGCGATTGAGCTTCAACAACAGGTTTCCGATCTCAGCAACAATCTGGCGGAAGTGGTTCAGCAGAAGGAGGAGCTTGAAACCGCCTTGACTCAAAAGCAATTGGAACTGGAACAACGTGATCGTGTGATGAGAGAACAGAGCAAGTTTCTTAAGGTCAGAGACGAGTTGCTGGATATTCTTAAAGGAAATGTTCGACAAGAAAACGGAGAACTGTCGAGCAGCGACGAGAACAATGAATATCTTCAAGAAGTAATTTAATACTTTCCTCTTTCTCTTAATTACTTAGTGGTATAAAATAGTACATTTAAATTCAAATATCTATATATAAAATTAAATATCATATTAACACTAGAACTACCGACGTTTGATGCACATTTATTTTTAAGTTGAAAATAATGTGGATTACTAAATAGATAAAGGATGAAACATAATTTAATATATACATTCATTCTTTAGCTTGATAACAGCTAATATATGTTTCAACAAAAATACCTAGATAAAATTTATAAATTTATAATTTGAAATAAGAAACTGGAAACCCCTCTGGTAATTCTAGTGTTAATATTATTTTTGTCATTTCCACTGAATACCTGGAACAATAAAAAACAATGTACAGGTTCAAAAACAGATAAACGCGAAAACGGAAATGATCCAAGAGCTGTACGAGACTCTGGAAAACAAACAGCGTCAGATAATGCGTCTGGGGAAGATGGTGAAGCTAATGGAGGAGCAGCAAGACCGTGCCCAAGCGCAACGCACGCGTTTTGAGAATCGGATCGCCCAGCTGGAACTGATCATACAGAGGAGCAAAGAACAGCGGTACGTTAGGGAAAAGTCTTCTTCTCCAAACTTTCGCGTAGATAGTGAACAGGACACGTTGCAAGATTATTACAGTGATTCCGAACAAGTCCTATTGCAAAATTCCTACGTTAAGCGTAACGAGTACCAGCCGGTTGCCAAAAGGTCAAATTATTTGTCTCGTTCTATCCCGTTGCAAGATAATCATCATTTTGTCTATGAGAATGATGGCTCACGACAGACATCCTCTGACGAGGAGCAGCCTTATATTTGTGAACGTTGTCGACGAGAAATTGAAACTTTAGACCAGGACGATGGATGTTGGTTGAACAAAGGCGATTCCGATGATAATAGTCCCGAGTCGTTCCGCGACTGGTCCAGGAACGAGAATAATCTGGAAATAATGAAAGATTCAATCGATGGTCGTGATTTCCATGATGATGATTACTTGCATGATTCACCTTTAATTAAGAGTAGGAAGTACAGCTCGATGATGTGTAGTTTGCACGGAGAGTCTGATAACGTGGACGACAGTAGCAGGGAGTTGCATTATCAGAAAGAATACCATCAACATCTTGATCCTCTTCGTCATCGTTTCCGGCCATCACCAAATAGAACAGAGTCTCATGATACAAATTTATAAAGATCTGGTCTTCTGTTTCATTCGTTAAGGCACTTTTGGCAGTTAGCAACCACGATGCTGTAATTTCGTAGAATTTCATTGTTGTAGAAATAAATTTGTTTCTGAATCATATTTCACCTGAAAGCTAATAGACTATGAGCCACATTTTAATGTAATTTCGCTCAACTTGTTACAATAACCATGGTGTTTGTTAAATATAAATGTTACAAGATATGCTACTATCGTCTACGGGTGACTTTAAATTCATATAAGTTTCACTACAGTTATGATATACCTTTGTAAATAAATTTAAATGTTTTGTTAACATGGTCTGATTTAATAGGCTAGGTACTCCCTGCTACAAAGTTTTCAATGTTACATTATTGATAAAAAAGTTTCTTACAGAGTGCCTAGCCATTGAAACAGACCGATTTCTAATCCCTTTATCTCTCTGACCGAATTGTATTTTCTATGTTTTAGGGGTAAAGGCTTCGGCATCCTGTAAGGAACTTTCTAATCATCGTCAGCGTATATGTCACCATGAAATTAGATCAAAATCAATGAGATTAATTTGTGTTACTAACCATTATGTGTCTTTGGTGAGCAACACTCTACTGCATTGTGCAAGATTTTTCTGATCAATATGAAGCAAAAATTGTTTATAACGTTTTAAAGGATGTATAAATTGGACAGTGATTACCGTATCTCGAATCTGTTAGCAAAAGTTACAAATCACTTATATACTATAATTTACATGTGTATTTGATAAGACTTATTTATATATCTGGATGTTGTGTTTATACAATTTATTTTATAATAAATTCGATGAACTTAAATTATATTTACAATACTGAACAATTAATCGCTATCGTTATCACTGCTTCCGGAGTATGCCCCTAATAAGGAAAGTCCATTATGAGCATTGTTTGATGCGTTATTTGTATTCTCCGATGTTTTCACTTCTGCGACTTTATCATTTCCTTTGAGTGAAGATTCTGTTTCATCTTTTGTCACAGTTTTAGTTTCTTGTTTTTCAGTGCTTGTTTTAATACCTATATTCGTTTTTCTTTTAACTATACCTAACAAATTTTTTCTATTCGACGATGTACCCACACTTTCAGACCATAATGAATCGTTAGATGATTTTACGCTTTGAATGTTGATCACCTTGAGAAACAAAAAATGGTTTTTAATAAACTTTTCAATAGATCTATTGGTAAATGCAAACTAAAAATTACCTTTTCTTTTTCTACCGTTACCTTCTCCGTTGTTGATACTACATTATCACTTTCTTTCGTATCTGTGCTTGTTTTAATTATTTTCTTCGGTGGTTCACGTGGTTCTCGTTCATCTAACTCCACGATTTCTTCCTCTACAATAGTTTTTTTACCAAATATCGATTTAATACATTCCTCATCATATTCTTCTTGTTCCTTCTCTGTCCTTTGCTTAGCTGCCTCTGTATCAAACTGTTCTAACATTTGATCATAGTCAATAGCTTGCTGCCTACGGTTTAAATCTTTCAATTCCTCCAAAGATTCTAATAATTCTAATTCTTGCTTTGACTGTAATGTTCTTTTTTCTAATAGTTTCATTGGATTAGTAGCTTCCTCTTCTTTTTCTTCATCTTCCTCTCTCTGCGCTTGTTCTTCAGCCAATTTTAAGGCCATAAAATTCCTAGTAGCACCTGCTTCAATCTCATAATCTGTATTCTTAGGATCGGTTTTGAAACTTATTTCTTGGAGGCATCGAGTACATTTGATATAAAACCTGTAAATTCGTATTCCTAAATAGTCGTCACCTTCAACATCCTCTTTACGAGCATTAAATTTCTTTCCTTTATAAATGTACTCTCCACAAGTTTTACATCTCATGTTGAAAGGAGCCATCAAACGTACCGTGTATTGCCTGTTACGGGCCAATTTCATACGAGGAATTTTCGACGGATCGAAATCCGGTGGATAATATTTCTAAAATATAAAATTTACAATTAATATACTGAACTGACATAAATTTAATACACATAACCAATATAAACAATAACATAAGGCATCTTTATATTCAGTTTAATACAATCAATTACATAAAATTTTACTTACATTTAAAACTTTTCGCTCCGACATGTTGCTGGTTTAATATAATAAAATTATCCTTCAAAAATATGTATTATGTCAGATACATATATTAATAGGAACAGTAAAAGAAATTTAGGTTATGCTTGTTGATGAGTGGCGGAACAGAAGTATGGCGCAGGTGCATAGTGTTACCCTGGCCGATAATAAAATGCGCCATCTATTAATAAAGGGCTGAAACTGCTCGACAAGTTACCGACTTACCTTTGATGTCGATAATTTATCGAGTAGCTCGCGCCATCTATTAGAAATCAGCGGAAACTAGTCGACAACTTACCGACTTACCTTCAATGTCGATAAGTTGTCGAGTAGTTTCCGCCACTCTTTAATAGATGGCGCCACTAAGTTACCTCAAAGTCGGTAAATTATTGAGTAGTTTCAGCAGCTTTCGAATAGATGGCGCAGGGGTCAATTTTTAAAATCAACTTACCGACTATTTAAAAAATATTTAATTTTGCAATTTGTATGCATCGGAACTATTGACAGATGAAGGTTTTAAAAAGAAATTTTTAAGGAGGTCATGCTTGTACATATGTAATGAGTTTACTTAGGATAATTAACGTTTTAAATTTATTTCGGCTAAAAGTTTCCTGCATTTGTCGTCAGATATCTCTAAAGTACATCAATATCATTTTCAATATGGCTTCAGTATCCACGTGAATTCCTAACTCAAGTTAATTGTTTACATGCAAAAATTAGTGATTATTTATTAGTATTATCGTTAAGGTACACATTATGGGTGAACAGAGGGAAGTAGACGAAAAAGTAACGAGGGTAGAAGACATACTCAAGAACGTATCTCCAGTTACTGATACAAGTATTCCACGTTTAGAATCCAAGAAGGTTAAGACTAAAAAAGAAAAATTAGAACAACTAATTCCAAAGGGAAAACCAAAATCTGGTAGAATATGGAAGGAACAGAAAACACGGTTCGTAATAAAAACTTGCAAAATGTATTGAGAATCATCTGTAATTTATGATTTTCCTATTTTGTAAACAGATTCTCGTCTATTGTTAAAACACGTGGCATGCGTTCATCGTTTGAGAAGAAGCAAAAATTGAGAGAAGACCTGAAACGTGTTAAAGAAATGTCAAGGGAGATCAAAGCAAAGAAACAAGCAGAAAAGGAAGCTAAGAAAGAAAGGAGAAGACAAAATTTGAAGCGCGCTGAGGAGAATCGCAAGAAGGGCGAAATTGTTCAAGTTGTAAGTAATATGTTACATAAAGTTTTAACGAAATAGAATTATGAATAATTATAACGTTTTTTTATAGATTACAAATACTGCAAAATTGAAAAAAATAAAGAGGAAACAGCTTAGAACGATAGAGAAGAGAGATACACTTAAAATTTAAAATAGATATCTGTACATTTATACTGATTTTTACTGAATAAGAAACTATTTATAAAATTCTTTTATAGTAAATGATTGCAGCATAATTTAAAAATTATTAATTAAATTAAACTACTGTGGTTTGGCTAGCTTTTCCGTTCGTTCTTCTTCCGTTGTGCCACGAAATCACGAAGTTCTTCCTTAAGATTACAGTTACTTGGAACCATCTAGAAATAAATCGTTTCATATACTGTTCTAATTTTAAGTAAATATCCGATGTACAAAAATTACCATTGTTTTAACCCATTTTGGAAGATTATCTTTATATGATTTCATCAGAAACCTGTAATGGAAGATCAATAAAATGAGACAAAATGTTAAAGCTTACTTGTTTTACTAATTTATACGAACCTTTCGTCCACTAATATCACTGCTCCCCAATCATTAACGTGTCTCAGACAACGTCCTAAGGCTTGATTTAAAGCTCTGAATGCTTGTATAGAATACCACTGATAACCGGATAACAAACCTTTCGAGGTATTAGCGTCATTATACTTATACTTCATATCGACGATAGGATCATTTCGAACCGTGTACGGTATTCCTATCTACAAAACAATATTACTATAATATTTAAATATTTCACTCCTTCTAAAACCTTACCGATAAAACGCAACGAGATTCGTTGTCCTTAAAATCAATTCCCTCTGCCACTTTGCCTCGAAAAACAGCTAAAAGCAAGGCGCCGCTGATGCCCCCTGATGGACCAGCGGATGTATCTTCTATTACCTGCCGATAGTCCCTCATGATATCCCCGAGATCACCCCCATAGCGTGGTTCTACGAACACCTCTTTAATCCTGCCGATCTGATTCCAAACCGAGGTGTGTTTCCACCTCTGCATATGTATATTTAGGACGTTGTACGAAGAAAAGAAACAAAGAATACCGTGAGGTACAGCTTCACAGATCTGCAGCAGCAATGAGCCTAATTCATCCTGAAGATAGAAATGAAATTTTATTCAATTATCCAGAAAAATATATTTAACATAGGAAAGGCGGTGTTTCGTCTCGGAATCGTCTGCCAGACTCGTTAGACGCTGACGGCAGATGATCCGTGCCCCAGACGCCTATAACCCCCCTTTTTTAGAACTCATGCCAGGGGACTGCCAGCGAGAACAGACCAATCCCGTCGCCACCTGGCGGTCGCCGACCGGAGCTAAGGGCGCCTGGGAAGACTCACCGCCACCCTTTCCACTAAACGCCTACTCAATCTTACCTGAAAGCTCCAAGTATTAACGTTTTGATAGTTTGCTTTGAGTACAATTCCATTGGGCCCTCGTGACAGACAGGTGGCGTATATTTGATCCTTTGAAATCACGTGACCCGCGTTAAGCACGTGCGGGAATTTTGTGCCCAATTCGCTTTGGAAAGAATCGATCGGTGCGAGGGTACCTGATACAAGAATTATAGCGCGAGCCATCTCGGACAACGGCGCGAATATCACACCTGGATTCATACAGATCAGTTTCAACGTTCGCGCGGTGTGTTCCTGTTTATTGGATGGTAGCCACGAATTCTCGTTCGCCTGAAACTACATCCATAACATTAGAACAATTCTGGAGTATTGAAATACGCAGAGGTGATTTCCATACTAACAGATGTATAATCTTTTACGATGTTCTCCATTATGCAAGCTCTGTAATCATCCGTGTACTTCGGTGAAGTGATCGTCCGCATGGAGAACACGAGGTGTTCTAGTATCAACTTCGTATTCGAAGAAATGACGGGTTTCAGAGATGTTTTCGTCATCCGTACCTCCTCCTTCATGTTGTTCAGATCGGTAATTGCTGCTGTGCTGGCTTCGAAAAATGAATGATACGCCTCTTCCCCAAGTCCATGCATGTCAAATAATTCTAATAATTCTTTGCCGGTCCAGTATGGACTGGATTTAGTCTCACTGGTTTTACCCTGATAATGAAGAGAAGTTTTAATGATGGTTCCATGTACAGTATAAATTGGATAAGCACCCGGTAACCATCCCCATCACTTGGGGGATCCTCCATGAGGAACAGTGAAGCTGGGCCAACGAATAAATATCGGGTGCTTATCCAACTTATACTGTAATATCATTGTTAAGATATAAATTATATAAATAACCTACGACTAAGTTAAGAGTGATGCTCTTCATAAATGTCACTAATTTGGTAATATACTGTTTCAATCTATTATAGACTGAAAAGTCCATTTCTCGTTGTTTCGAAAGTGCTTCGCATTCTAATGCGGCGGCCATCATGTGATCATCGCGAAAATCCACACTGGCTACTTCCCTACATATGTCCTCCATGTTGTGAGCTTCGTCGAGGATGATCACTTCGTTCTGTAGGTCTAATTGCATCTATAAAAAAATTTAAAGTATCCTCACGATTTCATAATAATAAGAGATAATCATTTTAAGAAGATGACTTACGCTTTCGCGGATATCGGGATCGATTATATAATTGTAGGGGCAGAAGATAATATCTGCGTGCTTCATTAAATCTCTGGCGGTAAAATAAGGACAAACTTCTCTTTCTTTACCTATCTCCACTAATTCTTCGATATCCCATACAGGGCCTAAACCGCAAGCACTCAACTCGTTGAAGTTCGAAAGCTCATCCTTCTTTTTCTCCGTATAAAATGGACACCCTTTGTGCTAAATAAAAGTTTTCCTTGTCAGTCTCTTAGCTGAATACAATTAACAAATTCTGTCCGATTAATGAAAGAAACCTTAACAGGATCTAGTAGGTCCTTGCAGAGTTCCGTTTTATTTCTCGTCGAATCCTGGATACAAGTATGTTCCCGACTGCTGAGAATTGTCATTCTAGAAGCAATTATTAAATGATTCCTTGATCTTCGTGTATATTTAACGGATGGTTGAAAAATTTCTTACTTTTTGTGTCGATAACTTGTTGTTCGCAGTTCCCTTATAACTTGCTCGATTTGCTTATGGGTTCGAGTGCCATAATATATTTTAGGAATTTTCGAATATTTTCTAAAAATTGTATTGATTTCTTTTATTAAATAAGAAACAAAAAAATTATTTTAATATCTAAGTAACAGAATGAAGTCTCACTTTATCGCGTCATAACATAAGTCTTCCAAATCCATCTCATCCATACAACTTGTACTCCCGCCCATTTCATGCAAATCATTACATCCTTCATTATATAGTGATTTAGCATCACCTGTAATGAAAATTTTCATTTTTAAACGAATTCAGAATTTCTATATTTTGAAAGACCGCCAAGGGGAAAAAACATGTGGCACCATCTAGTATCGAGTGTTAAAAATGAGGTCGATAGGTAGTGTAAAAAACACGTCCATTTATAGTTCTCTTCATTAACATGAGACGGCGCTAAAAAGGACCACCTTCAAAATCGAAAAAGAATCAACCCCCAAGGGTGTCAATAATCAATCATTATTCAATAATTAAGATCATAGTTATAATCGCTATTAAAAACCGCAAACGTAATTCAAATCAAGAATTTTTCTCGGTCAACATCTGCTCTATGTAACATCCCCTTTTGTAATCTAAAAATTACTCACAAAATCGTTTTTTAATCCACTTTTCGCTATCAGAAACCCTACAGCTAGTTTCTTCTTAACCCCAGCCTATAAACCCCTGTCTCGCGTATAAAAAGGATGAAATAAAATAAAAGATAGGTCAAATAAGAAATGGAAAAAAAAGGGATAGTATTAGATCGTAGGAAAAAAAAAGAAGGATCAGAAGGAGAGAAGGAAGGGTGGCGTGTATTTCGCATGATCCTCGACGCGAGCGATTTCTAAGGGGTCCGCTCGAGACCGACTGAAAAGGATTACGCTTATTTAGGGAGTTCTTCGCCGTTGAAAGGATCTGCCCAGGGGAAAAGAGACGGAGAATGTACCCTTACCTACCCTCTGTCCCTCCTGGACGGGCTATTAATGCCGTGAAACTCGGAGCGAGGACGAGCGAGAGGAATGTCAAAACACCGGGATCGGGATCGGTGGCAGGTGAAAGGGCAGAGAGAATCCATTGAGCGGGATCAATAGGGGTGGGTTTTATCCACCCTCTGGCCGGATGTCGACAAAAGCGAGCCAGCTACTCGAAGGAAGGCAGATGAGAGGGGTGAAGGAGTCATAGAAGGAGAAGGGCCGGGGGAAGGGATGGAAGGCCGGTTTAATCCTTTCGTGCGATTTACCAAGTCAGAAAAATAGAAATGATGGTAAATGACGATGAAAGAAGATGGCATGAAATGGATGTTTATTCGTAAGCGGATTTCGACGATCGAGCCGATTCCGCGCGGAAACAACCCTCGAGGAGGAGAAAAAAAGACGCTACTCGAAGAAGAAGATGATGCTACCGATGAATTCGTTCGTGAATCGTACAACAGAGGTGAATAATGTCTCTCCCGATGCCTTTATGCAGCCTTTTTTTCCCTTTCTATTCAACGTTATAAGATTCTTTCTTTTTTTTCTTCATTTCTATGTCGGATTCAGAGTTGGATGAATTTCTTAACCCTTTCATATCGCGCTATTTGTTGTCGCGTGATAAATAAGAAGAACGATTACCTCGGGATAATTAAACAGGAAATTATTTATTGAATTTTATTCCGAAAGACGATCGACCGAACAGAGGTGACCAACTTTCCGTTCTCCGTACATCAGACACGAGGGATGATGGCGAGGTTGAACCTGAAGGGTGGTGTTGATCGTCGATAGAGGAGGCACGGTCGCGGCTGGTTGATTGTCGAAAGGGGGTGAGAAGAGAGAGGCTAAGACAGGAAAAGCGGGACGGGGCCAATCAGAACGGGGACTTTGAGGGTGTCGTTGCCAGGCAACGAAACACACCCCAACACCCGAGGGGAGAAAACCCCAAGGGGGTATCATCCAACGATACAGTCGACGCCGAAAGTTATCGCACCCTCGAGAGACGCCCCCTTTAACGTCGCCATCGAATTACCGACTAGGTTCTACGGACACTTGCGGGTTCTTGGTTCCTCAGGGATGAACGGATAACAATGGAAACCACAAACGAAGAATATACACAACTTCATTTTCCTTTTAACTATGTCGCTCGTTGATTAATTAATTTTCAATTTGTGTATGTATCAAATTATTCATCAAAATCATTCAATTAAACCAAACAAGAAAATCGAGAATGGAAATAAATTTGAAGAATATTAACAACGTGAAATCGAGGTCAAGACACGTTTATCAAGAATCTTCGAATGAATCGGCCACTGTGGCTGCTTTCTTATCAGCAAACAATTCTGCTGGAAGAAGGAAAAACAGGAAATCGAGCAGAACAATACGTTATCGTGTCTGGCGGCGTATTTCGTTTCCATTCATCCTGGAGAGCATGAATGAATCGTTTCACGTCGATCACTCTTTCCGTATCACCCGATTCACCCTTTCACCCCCACCGCTACGAATCGCGAATAAATAAACAGTTGATTCGCGAGTATAAAGCGAACGATTCTTGGATTCTTTTCATTCAGAGAAAAATACGATCTTAATTGCTGGCTAATTAATAAAGGTCGTCTTAGTTTCGCGATTATTCGAAGAGAGTAGGATGAAATACCAAACGGGGTGTTTCAAAACGATGGTTAATTAATAGAAATTCTAATTTACAATCGACGAGAAATGACACGTTATATCTCATACTCGATGATAATTACAATTAGCGCGAAGTTGTACGAGCAGCATCAAAGTAACGTCACTTCGGTCTTCCTTTTGTCCTAGCGTTAGAAGGCTGAAAGTTGCTTCGAGAATTAGAGATTATTAACAAGGGAGGGTCTGGGGTATTGATACGGCTTTTGTCTCCGGCGACCACAAAGTTTCGCGAAGCACCGCAATCAAACCAATTAGCGACGATTTGCTAAATCAAGCCGCAGCCACGAATTAATTGGTCCTCGACTTTCTTTCCCCCGTTTCTCCGCTGTCGTCGACAACAAATACTCTAAGTCCTTTCGATGAGCACCGAGGAGAAGTAGGAGGAGGAGACCCATTCTCGTCTGTTCGCCTCGATTTCCTCTTTCTCCCTCTGGTTCATCGACGAGTCGCGTTAAGAACACCGGAAGACACTGCGAACCGAGATCCCAATTATTGGTCTCCGTCCAAATAATTTTCAGGAACGATTGTTTTCTTTCCCTCGTACACAGAACCCTTCGAAATATCACTAAATTAAAGAAGAAAATAATTTGTGAAATTTTCCATTTTCCATAACGATTCGTCTCGGTGATAGCACGGATTCATTAATTCATTTCATTTTCAATTTCATTCGTACCGAAACATAATCAACTCGAAAACGGCTCCGGCTTTGATATTCCTGACGCGTGTCTGCGCCAGACGAATCATTAAAAAAAAAAAAAAAGAGAGAGAGAAAGAAATCTCGCGAATTAATTAGCAGCTGTCCCCGTTCGAACGCAGCATCGCAGAAATTTCGCATTGAAATTGCCAGGTTTTCGCGATCCACCCGCTGCGCGAACGAATCGCTGCGACACAATGCCGGGGCCGGTGCTCGACATATGGACGATGCACAGTAAAGTGCAGCGAAACAATCATTTAAATTCGCGTAATCCCTTTGTTGACGATCGCGACGAGCATGATCGCAGAATTTCTAATCCTCAGCCCGGGTACAATGGCTGCGACCGATCGATTTTCATTTGTCGTTGGTCAGAACAAAGTGAAGGGACGCGAGGGGGGGCTCGGATCGTATTTCGAAAATTGAAGACGACCCGTGATCCAAGGGAAAGAGAAACAATAAGAATATCAACAACGAGGAAAGAAGAGGATTGTACAGTTCGAGAGAGTCGATAAGGCCTGATGGTTTGCTGAGAAATTGTTTGTGAAAACAATACCTTTCTATATGCTACGTGTTCTCCTAGAAATCGTCTATCTATTATTTTTTTCTTTTATCGTAGCTTCGATAATCTACACTCGACCGTTAAATTCAATTTTACGAACGAACCCTTCACGAACGTCCGCGCCGATGGCAACCCCGAGGGGTGCTTTTCCTTCCGGCCACAAAAGCAACGCAAAATCGTTACATTCCTGGACAAAAGCGGATACCATCCCCCGGCGACGTAACAGTCCACGAACGAAGAAGACCGAGGGCGAAAGAGGCGGCCAAACAAAGGGGGTTGCTTGCGATCGAGGCCCTCTCAAGGTCCAAAGAAAGATGGCAAAGAGTCGGAGAGAGGAGAACACTCGTCGCATCCAGGGTAGCATCCCCTATGTGAAACGTTATTAGCACGAGCTTGGACTCGCACATCCACCCAGTGACCTCGTCGCTGTGTTGGTTGCTCTGACTACACAGGGGTGGGTGGGTGGAGAAAGGAAGAGGAACACGCGAAGAGGGTCGAGAGAATGAAAAAAAAAAAAAAAAAGAAAGAGAAAAAGGTAGCAAGAAGAAGGAAGGGTGGATGGGTGGAGAGTGATACGTGGAAGAAGCTGTTGTCGAGAAAGTGGAAGGGGTTGCAGCAGTTTCTACTCGAGAGCACTATTTCTGACGACCAGAGGGAGAAATAAAAGGAGCAGAACGAGTACTGGAAGAACTGTTCTGTAAAGGGGGTGTTGGATGTGTTATTCTTAGGAAGAAAATGTCAGCGTAAGAAGAATCGAGTTAAAAATGCATCGAAGAAACGCGAAGAAGAATTTCCAAGCTGGGAAAGAAAAATATAGGAACATTTCTAATCGAGAATACTCGAGAATAAAGCAAATACAGCAGGAAAAAAGTATCCTATCCGAACGGATATCGTCTACCTCTCCGTTATCCGGAAGGTAAAGAAATAGGTCGAGAAACGGGTAAATAAATAGAAAAAAGAAAAGGATAAAAGAAACCACGGAAAAGCGTCAAATTAAAAAGCTGGAGAATTCCAGGTGGCTGATAACGGGCAAAGGAACGCGGTACCGTCGAAATACTTTCAGCCGATATTACTCTTCTTTTTCTTCCCCGGAAGGAAAACGCGAGAATTAGGGGAAGAAAGTTCGACGTCGATGTCGTAGGAAAAGCAGAGCAAAGAGAAGAAGAACTAAAAGTATACGAAAGAGAACGGAATGGATGGCATCGAGGTAAAGAGGAAGCGGAGTGCAAGGAACAAAACGCGTAGCAAGAATCCAAAGAATCGTCGTGGAGACGGAAAAATCGTGGATGAGTTAGGGAGGGATGGTCGAGGCAGTTCGAGGAGCAAAGAGACAGGTCGAGAAACGAAGAGGGAAGTGTGTACCGAGGGACAGGAACCGGTGTTTGGTCGACGGGGGTTGGGCGAGGAGGGTTTCGGTCGTCATGGCGACAAGCAACCCCCGGGACCCACGGAGCTCGTCGCCGGGGTTGGTCGAAAAGGGTGGCCCAGGGCGTCTGTCAGGTAGGTTAGGCTGGCCGTATAGCCCGAATGTCACTCGACACAAGGGGGACACAAGGATGTCCTGGACGCGAAGGGGACAGAGCGTCGGTCGAGCTACGGGAGCGAGTAAGAGGGTTGGGTGCGAAGGGGATGGCGGTGTCGGGGAGGGTGGAAATGGAGAGAGAGACTCGAGAGAGCGGAGGAGAGGGTGCAGGCAGGCCAAGATGGCCGACGACGCGACACCCACCATGTCAATAACACCCTTCTTCGACGCAAAACCGAGCCAACCTCCCTTGCTGCACCCCGTACCACCCTCGCCCCTCATTCCAGCTGCTTTCCTTCCGCGACCTTTCGTCAGCCAACCTGGTCTATACAGGGTGTCTCGCGCAATCGGGACGAACTATATCTTAAATATGGTTAACAATAAAAAAAAGTTTCATTCAGACTGAACACTGCTTGATTTCTTTTTATGGGGATGCTAAGAAAATAAGGTATACTTTTGTTCTGTTATTAGTTATCAAGACACCCAAAAACATATTTTACTAGAAAAATAAAAAAAAAATGAAAACTCATGATTCGTGTGTAAAGCAACACGAATACAAGAATGAAAAATTGTTTAGAGTGCAGCGAAGAGACTACCTAAACAATTGTTGCACCATAATTATCCAATGACATTTACTGATATATTAAATTAATTTTTACACTAATAGTTCAAAAGTAAAACAATTGGTATCTGAAATTATTTTTGCAATGACACATTGTATCCAAAAGTACAGAGTTCCACTAATGAGAAAAGTGCAGTTGCATTCTTTTGATGCACCGATGCACCAAAGTGCATAAGCTTCATGGTACTTAAATTCATCCTACGATATGTTAAAGACACATTTCGTTCCATTTTCATGGTTCACCCTGTATATTCAGCACGATGATGCGCTCTCTCGCCGCGATTTTCCCCGGCTTCTTGCCTCCGCTCGCGGTAATTAACGCGACGATCCCCTGCCACGAAGAAGAGAGAAAGGGGCGAAGAGAGCGAGTAAGAGTGAGAGGGGAAGAGGAAATTCAGAGGGGAAGCACTCGCGGAGGCCATTGCTGGCGAGGGCGTAATTCCGTTAAGTGTCTTCGTAAACTTCGTTAGCTGCATTTCCCGACATTACTCACCCCACTGCATTTCCACGCACCCCGTGCGGAGCCACACGGACTTGACGCTCCGCTTGCGTGCGTTCGATGCGCTCGCTGGCGCACGCTTCACACTCTTGGAGTGTGAATTTTCTTTTTTCCTACCAGGCAACAACTTGGATAGATGTTACGAAAAGTTTAGGGCGTTCGGATGATTATTTTCTGACAGTAAAGATCGAATGCACTCTGCAGTTGACATTTTTAGGTCTGACACGATTTCATGACATAAAAGTATCGCAGAAAAGCACTTGTGCCATGTCAATTAAAGCTTAAGGTTTGACGAAAATGATTACATAAAGAGTTTATAAATATTCTTAACAACAAATGGCTGATTTTTAAGTTTCTACTATTTTGTATTTCCTTTTTGCCGTGAAATCGTATCAAATTTTCGGTGTTTCGAGATCCGTAATTGAACAGTATTCAGAAACAATTATTTTATATATATCGTGTACAGAGATTGGATCGAATGATGAATTGTTTTTAACAAGTTTAAGGTTCCGTGGTATGAAACAGAACACAAAACCATTCGCATCCCCTAAATCCCCTTAGGAGGTTCGATTTGCAATTCGCGTGATAATTAATGATTATCATCTGCTATCATTAAAATGACACTACAATTGAATTCGCAACATTAATATGCGTTACATATTATCAGCGGAATTAATAACCGCGTAGCGTATTCATTACAAGTTCCCGGGGCTATTATCATCAACCGTCGCTTAACATTCTAATTTAACAATAAAATCATTCGACCCAGCCCGGTTCTGTCAAATTTTCAACAGCGTCATTATCATCGATCCGAATGAAATGACGAACCTAAAACAATAAACTAGAGAACGATGAGTATATTTTGCATTGAAATTATAATTCGTATTAAAGTTTCTCGATCATTATTAGGAACGAATATTCACGTGAAAACTATTTTCGAGAGGATAAGGGAAAATTTTTCAGAATAAGTTGAATCGGTCCCTCCTTTCGAAAGAATCGATGCGAGCTTTTCTTTCAAAACGGACACGCGTTTCTGCTTGGAAAAGCAGATGTTACAACAAAATCGACCGTCTCTATTAAATATAATAACCATCCAGGGTTTTCATGCCTGAACGACTCGTAATGTGTTACGTAATATTCGCTGTTCTACTATCGGTCCAGCACAATGGAGGCAAAAGGCTGGAAGTTCCGAACGATGCTTCGTATCCGCTCGAAACGAAGCGTTCTCGAGCGAATATTTTCGTTCTGTCTCGTGAGCGGATATAATTAACATTCGCCAACTGTATTGTTTACCATCATTTGCGTTCTTACGTCGAAACATTATGATTTATAATTAAAATTAAAATTAACGAACGATTGACGAGCGAATAATTAAAATTAACGAAAGATGATTACGACTTACCCCCGCCCATTTTTGTGCCGTTTTCCTTCTCGATTTGAGCTGAAACAGATAAAAATGAAACGCGTTAGAAAGTTATAAAAAAAATTTCTCTACATTTGCTATTTTATTCTCTTCCAATGGGCAATGTTTGAGATCGAGTAATTCAATATTTAAAATATTCATTGTTGCGGTGTCTCTATTAAGGGGACAAAAGTTAGGCAGCAACCTAATATTTTTCTCGTCAGCGGAGCCGACAGGATTATGGGCCTCTCAGGGGGCTAATAACTGGTCCCGACTGGGTCAGCACGCATCTGATACGGGAAACGAGGGCCCTTCCCTTTTATACAATGTGCGCATTAAACACTAATCGTAATGCGCGCCAGCACGATCGCTCGCGTATTGTACTTAGCGCATGGGATCATCAAAGGATGCCGACCGGTCGGGGAAAAGCTTTGCACAAAGTATGCTAGCCGACCTCGTGAGACTTCTTCTTCGTCGGCTAACACAGAAGAAGAAGAGTTTCTATCGATGCGATTTCACCCTCCCAGTTCCACCCCTTTCTTTGTAAGCTTTGTACGTTTTCAAATCGTACAGATTAATTTCCGTTTCGTTGTTCCTTGGCAAAATGAATTATTTTTTCATTTATTTATTCTCTTTGGAAATAATAATAGTGTACGCTATGAGAATGATGAATTTTGTTATTCATTTCACGTGAAATTCCAACTTTTAATTACTTTAACATGGTCATAGTATAAAAAAATTACGCTCTGGTGGTGCTATGTAGAATCTTTTTGTGCTTCGGAAAAATTTGTGTACAAATTTTAACTTCGATATTGAATTAAATAAAGGATATTCTATTATTCGTTTTGGAAACAGATGGTTCGTTGTAGGCGAAACGAATAAAATTCGAGTATCACGCGTTAGTAGAAACTTCATTAATATTTCACTATTAAATGATGGAACAATTAAGCATCGGAGCGTATCATAAAGAAGTCATTTTACAATTCAAATTTCACTCGATTAATATGGATCATTGATAAACGTTTAACCGACCGTCGTGTTCGAGGCTTCAGTAATTTTCCCATGAATTTGTAATTGGAGTCGAGTGTCAATCAGTTTTGATAAATTTGTTGGAATTAATTGCGTGGAATTACACTCGATATTGAATCGTGTCAGCAAGAAAACACGTGTTGCTAGCGAACGTTGATTTAATTAAAAACTCGATGTTCTTTAATAAAATTTTACAAAACAGTTAAACGCATCGTACAATTAGAGGCACGATTTTTCATATTATCAATTCGGACTTCTCGCTACCTATTTAATTAAAACTGTTTTGTAACACATTTCAGAGGCCTGAATTCCAATTGAACTGACTTCACTATTCAAGGGTTGATTTAAAATGCCCTACAAAAGAATAAAAAAAAAAAAAAATAAAAAAAAAATAAAAAAAATAAAAAACGGTGATCGATGCACTAAATCGATTTCCATAACAAAACTGATGGCAAAGAGAAAGATATCGAAGCAAATATAGAGTTCGATTAGCAGGGCTCTGTATCGGCCATTTTCCACGATCGAGCCAACCCCTGACGCCGCAGGAACGTCCCTGCAATTTCCTCCATCGTTTCGGAAGGGGTTGCGAGTCTTCTGGAAGAAGGGGTCGCCGTACAGGGCTAGTCCATGAAGCGAGGAGGGTCGGTGGCACGGAATTTCAAGCCCGTGGGGACGGCCAGCGAGATATCCGAGGATATTATCCCTCGGGAAGCCGTGTAATGAAACCGTTCCGGCACCCCCGTGCTATTATCCCCTCGGCAATATAAGCCGGGGTGAGCCGGACAAGGATATAGGTGGCTGATACGTGGCGCACAGCTGCACCCCGCCACGCCCTCTTTTATATTTCATCCCTTAGCAAAAACACTGACAGAGAGAGAGAGAGAGAGAGAGAGAGAGAGAGAGGAGGAAGTGGAGAAGGGTGATAAGGGGGTTCAGGTTAGGGAGAGATAAGCAGAGAAGCAAGATAAGCCGCGTCAGCGAAACGCGACGTCATCGTCATTAACGAATCTGAATAATTGTCTGAGCCCTCCGAGAATCGAGCAACCGTTCGCCATCTCGTAACCCTTTACCGCTTAAGGGTGGACTAGACGCGACAATAGGGTGAGAGGATCGAATCGAGACACTTGTTCGGTCGAGATTAATTTCCTGCTGCATCCTTTTTCTTCCAGTCTTCCCCTTTTTCGTGATTTTTAACGCAGGGGATGGTTAACTTTATTTTGAAGATATCCTTGTAACAAAATTAAGTGTAATTTTTAAGAAATTAAGTTCACAACCCTTAATCGGTTAAGGGTGTAAGATGAAGAATATCAACTCGAGACACTTGTTTCTTTGATAATTTTAGGAGATGGTTAACTGTATTTTAAGGCTACCCTTTAAACCGAGTTTCAGTTTTCGAGAAACGAAGTTATATATTCTGAGATGGATCGTTTTATTCGGTTAATTCGACAAATCGTCCACGCAACACGGTTTCATTTTCCACCAAACGCTGTCGGAGACAAACATTTAATTACCGTTAACAAAACAAACACACCGGCGACCAGGAAAATCAGCAGAGAGAAAATGTTTGCTCGGTGAATTATTTTTCGCCGCGAAAGCTTAATTTCACGAAGGTCAAGGGAGACAAAAAAGCAACGTAATTGTTAGTTCCCGTCCTTATTCCTCAGCTTCTCCCCGAAATAAACGAGGGTGAAAAAGCGGAAAATCCACCGCGTTGTAGATCTCGTTATCGTTTGTACTTTAATAAACGAACGTAACAGGAGTACGTAACAATGTACAAAATTAATTATTTCCTGCTGCATTAGACGTCGACTTTAAAAATCAGCTTCAACAATTTTTTTTCTACATTTTTCTCTAAAGCCTACATGGAATTTTCCAAAAATCACGTATTCGCAAGGGAAATCGCGAGAGTTTCACGAATTGATCGGCAGTGGACGAACAAAGGGTAGGATGCGGGCGAAGTTTCGAAGCGTTGAGAGAAATAGCGGAGGAGTACGATGGAGTAAGAGAAAAATAAAACGAAGAAGGAGAAGGATATATTCCGGGCGGCACGTGCACGCGGTTAAAAAGGTTCGCCGCAGAAGAGAAGTTTCGTTTCGACGTGCCGACGCTGGTTTATAAAAGCGGAACCGGCTGTCGTGATACGGATCTGACCAATCATAAAAGCCGCATAATGGCCACTTATTCATCCATCCACGGCTGTGGAACGAACAAAGGCGGAAATTAGTCAGCTTCGGTATGCTTATTAATTGACTGACATTTCCGTCATATTATTGTACAATGAATCGAAAGCGGACCGTAGAGCCCTCGAAACCCCCGCGGCCACCCCCCTCCAAGCCGTAGCCTTGCTCGTTCCATTGCTTTTGGTCGTCCTCGTTTCACGGGGGTTGCCATCGCTCCGAGGATCGTTTCGAACGTTGTTCACCATCGATGCTGCAACGATTGATATTTCTTTTCATTTCATTGATTTGTTTATTATTTTCAATACCATCCCGAACGACACCGATGACGGTAACTGAAAACTACCCCCGATGATTCGAATTATTTTATTGGAAAAAGTCTACGTATTGTGCGATCGTTTTCGAAAGAGATAAAAGGAAGCATCGACGCTTCGCGAGTGAGTCGCGAAGAGGGATGAGAAAGAAGAAGAAGAGAATGCAGAAAAAAAAGTAGAACGAGCGCATGTCTCAAGGGTGCTTGGTGCGATTCCATCGCGAAGGACTCATCCTCGACGCAGCCTGAATACTATGGGCATTCAGAGCCCTTTTTTCCACGATAATTACACGCGAAGCCACTAATTACGGCTTTGCATGGTGCATCCACCGGTAGGAGGAAATGGAAGAAAGAAGGAGGCGGAGAAGGGTGGTGTTGAGCGAACGGGGGTGAATATCGCGTACCATCAACGGGCTCGATGGCTGGAGATCGTCGAAAGACGGAAAATGGGACGGAAATTAAAACGTTCGCTCACGGATTCCTTCGATTTTCTCGAAATGAATCGCTCTTTTCCTCTGACGATTCAATTTTTTTTTTTCTTTCATTTAGAAACAATTGAAATACAAAAATACCGCTGTAGAATCTTAATATAAAATTAAATTTTTATCAAGCTATAAGTCTCAAATATTAATTATTTCATTAAAGACCACTGTCTTTACCTAACCATCATCGGAAGAAAAGAAATACCACGATCGCGCAGCTTCGTGGATGCACGAGAATCTGAAGAAGGGGATGAAAAGAAGCATCCCCCAGCGATACGTTCATTCCGATTCCTGTAATTAGAATATTAATCGCGAGGATCCTCGATCATCAGCTTCCTTCGTCCCTTCAATTATGCATTCCCTTTCGATCACCCCTGTTTGCAACCTCGAGGGGTTGCAAGGCACAACTTCCATCTATTTTGTTTCCCTCGCGAACGCGTGCTTCCGTCGAATGATGTCGCGAAAGGGGTTGAAAACTACTGTGAAGATCAGCGACGCTTTAAACGTTTTCATTTCACGACCACCTCCTTTTCCCTCGTACGGGGTTGTGTGGCGAAAGAAAAGGGAGGAAGAGAGATGAAGAAAAAAAGATGGAAAGGAAAGAAGAGTCGCTATGGCGTCCATGGACCCGTAGCTGATTGGACGATGGCAAGGGTACGCATTTTTAGCCTCCCTTCGGATCTGCCCTCATTGTCATTTTAATTTCAATCCCCTCGGGGCCAACGCAGCTTGGAGCGAATCAGGGGCAAGAGAGGAGGGGGCGCGGAGAACCAGCAGGACGCACGCACCCTTCGCAAAGATTGCCTTGACTACTTGGTTACAACGGGAACACGTTTTCGGACCCGACTAACGGGTGTCTCGATAGAAATTTTGAAAATTTCACAAATTATATACAACTACCCCGGGGGTAGTCTTCGAGGAGGAAGAAATTTGCGAAAAGATTGATATTTGGTTGAAATAAAGGAAAATAACGCTGAAGTTTCTTAGAATATTCGAAGTAACCTAAGTAAAATAGTAGAATACGTACTTTTCAAAAGA